AAAAGTATATTATTTTAAAGATGTTAATTTATAAAATTATTTTATTCATAATATCTTTAATATAATCAATTAATAATTTTATAAAAAGTAGATATTTAATTTTAATAAATTTATTTATTATTTTTTAAAATGAAATTTTTTTGTTTTTATTATTTTCACTCAAATAAAAAAATATTTTTCACTTTATTCTATTGTTGTTTTCTTAATATGAAATTAATCCCAAATGACTTTTTTTATAATAAAAAAATCATATATATGAAAAATACATATAATTGTATATTTTTAAAATTTTGTGATTTAATTACGTATAACATTACAATTAAAACAGTCTCGTTGAACTTTTTTATCTTTTAAAATATAGTTTGTATTGGATACTTGATTCATGGGGCACCAACGGAAAAAGGAAGAAGAAAGGTGTTACTGTGAAGGAGACCAACCATGTGAGCTAAGTGGGACTGTTATGAATTTACACTTTGCCACTAGTTTCTTTGTTTCAAAGGATTAAAAATCTTTGTTATAATCTAAAAATGTAATTATTTTTTTTCTCTTTAATTTTTTAATTTTTAATAGGTTTTTATAATTATAATTAGAAATTATAAAATATATGTATATATAAATATTCACAGATAAAAGTATCATCAATATTAAACAAATATTTTAAATGAATATTAATAAATTAATTACTTCTTTATTAATTAAACAAATATATTTATTATGATATGACATTAGATATTGTTATCCGTTAATATTTTTTATTTAATGTTTTTAAATAAAAATATTAATAAAAAAGATTAATTATTGAAAAGTTATTTAAAATTTAAATTTATAAATTTGTACTTTTATTTAAATTTAAATTTATAAAATTAAAATTATTTTAAAAAATAATAATATTTAATTTTATATTTTATTTATAATTGATCAATTAATATTTTATAAAGACTAATTTTATTTATATTAATATTTCATAGCATTATTTTATTTAAATTATATTTTAATATACAAAATACTAAAATATAAATTTGTAAGAATAATTTTAAAATAATTTAATGTAAAATAAAACTTAAACTAAATTAAAATTTTACATAGTTAAAAAAAACTCATAATTTTTTTAAGCATATATCGAATAATTGAACAAGTAATAAGTAATTTTTTTTAGCCGGGGATAAAGAATGCATTAATTATAATTATATTTCAGTATATTCCCTTCACTTATATATAAAAATGTGGTGAAATAAGGGAGTTTCTGTGATTTTCAATCTGGAAAACATCCATAATTGAATATCGTGTATGTATTTTTTTTTTAAATCTCCATCTTCTAATAATAAAAAAATAATAAGAAGAAGAATATATAAATAATAAAAATTTTAAATGTTTTTTAATGTTGTAAAATGTGCGAGTTTTGATTTTAGTTTCTGAAAAAAAAAATTAAAATAAAAAATGTTGACTTTTGATCTTTGATCTAATACGACACTAGTTAGTTACTCTTGTATTGAACAAAATGATGAATCATCATTCCAAGTGACAAATGCTCATGTTGTAATATATTGAATCACCAGAAAAAAAATAAAAATCTATAAAAAGTCTAATAGTTTGTTTTATAATGATTAAAACAAAAAATCACACATTTTATGAGGATTAAAAAGAGTGATTTTAATATTTATAAAGATGAAAAAAATTTATAGAGACTATACTCTAAACTAACTATTTTTACATAAACTAATAACATGTTTTTGTCATAAAAAATATTTAATATTATAATTTTTTTTTCAACCAAATAACATTTATTTCTACTTTATATTTCATTTTTTTAGTTATTTTTTCTTTATCAAAATAAGGTAAATATTTTGTCTATTTCTTGAAAAATGGTGGTGCTAAGTACCATCTCCCCTTTATTATTTAAATCAGATGGTAATCCACTGAATATTTATAATATTAACTGAAATGTGTTTTGAAACGAAGTGAAATTGTGATTTTTTTTTCAAATGAATATAAAAAAATATGTTTATAAAATATTAATAATATTGATTTGTAGAAATATAAAATTTATGAATATATATTAAAATAAAATGTATAATTAAAATAATTTTTATTATTAAACACAAAAATGACATATTATGTTTTTTAATTAAATCATTATTTATTTTAAATTTAAACTAACTTATTTTATTTTAGAAATTATTTAAATTTGAAACTAAATCTATTTTGATAGTTCTAGAGTGATTTCCATCTACAACCAAAGAACTAGGGTTGGACAGAGTGTGTTAGGATTTTTATGGAGTGAACGTGATTGCCATGTCACACAAACTTATATAGTCCTACATCAATGCCCACCATATTGTCTCTATTAAAAACTTCTCTTCCCATCTCAAGGGCCACTTTGCAAATTAAATATTTACGTGCCAGCTAATTATAGGCCAGCATTTCATTGGGTTGTCCTCAAATCCTTTCTCTCTAAAAAACATAAAATGAAAAATGGCTGTAATTGTAAAAATATGATAAATCATTTTTCTTCAAAAGTTTTAATAAAATTAATATTTTCATATCTTACAACTTTTCACGTACGTAAAAGATTGGATGATTACGTTTTACTTTATTTAAATAATTTGCTAGAGCTTATAGGAGACGTATCAAAGTGAGTTACATCTCTTAGAATTAAGATCATTTTTTTTATTGTTATTATGAAAATTCACAATGATAAGAATTATCTTGCTAAACTTAGGATTCAATTTTTTGTGTGAAAATAACCACTAATTACTCGGTAAAGAATGGAGTTCCAATTTTTAAAGAAATTTTTATATTTGAATTTTATAAATGGAAATTCTAGTGAGAGAAAAACTTACATTGAAATGCTCCACTAGATTTTTCAATGAGGTTAACTATAACCAAAGTTAATGAATATTTTAATGTTATCACACGTTCAAAAAATAAATAATCATTCTCTTACCTTATATTTTAAGAGATCGATTTTTTTTTCCCAAGTGAATAGAAAATAATAATTTATACATTAAAATCATATCATAAATGGATTATTATTTTTTTATTTGAAACAACTACATTTTTTAATGAAGGATGTTTTAGGATTTTGATGAAATATTATTATTCCTATTCCTATTTTATCTTCAAACAAATTAATTTAATGTTAATATACTTCCAACATAAAGAACGAATTAATTTATTAAAAAAATTAAGATTATTGTAATAATTTAATTTAAGTCGTAACATATTTATTATTCTTCCTAACTTATCAGGAAAAACCTTAAATTACAGTTTATATGATAGAAGAAATTAAATTGAGTTTTCATAGTTTTTTAAATTTTATAATTGTAAAAAAAAATCATTAAGGTTATTTTATTCCTTTTAATCTTAAATAGAAAACATGTAAAATATAAAAATATAAACAGAGCAAATAATAAAATATGGAAAAAATCAGAAAAAAGTCATTTAGTGGTTAAAAAATAACAAAAAATCTTAATATGTTGTATTATTAATTTTATATTACCTACAAAATGAATATATAATAGTATATATTTACAATTTATAGGTCCATCAGGAAAAAATATTTATTACATTTTTATTTGTTAAATAGGTAATTTAGTCCCTTTATTTATTAAAATGTTTCAATGTGATATTGAAATTTTTAAAATTTTCAATTTATACATGAATATTGTAATTGATGTCAATTTTGGACTACCTGTTATAAATGTTTTGACTCAGTTATATTAGATGCCTAGTTGGAGTATCTGTTCTGATGTGGTTAGGTGATTGGTTGACATATTTGTCACGTCACATTAAAATTATAAGAAGAAAGAAATAGAGTTGCAGATGTGTTTAGGGTTTGAACAATTGAGAAATTGTACAAATGGGTGAGGGAAAGTGAGAGGATCTGCAATGACAGGGGAGGTAGAAGTTCCATTTGTGACGATAGTGGAGGTTTAGGGTTCCAATCACTCGTGTGTGAGATTGATTTCATTTAGGGTTTGCGATGATGACATCGAAAGAGCGAGTTGTTTTCCGATAACAAGGTAAGGGGGACCTGCGATGACGCGAAGTCGAGCATGCAAGAGGGATTACCTAAGACCTATTGCGACGACGAATGATCCTCTCATTTTTCCTTACTCATTTGCACAAACTCGTACCTCCACGACAACATTACATATTCTTTCACTTTTCCTCACCTATTTGCACAAACTCTCAATTATTCAAACCTTAAACACATTTGTGACCCTATTCCTTTCTTCTTGTAATTTTAATACTACGTGACAAATCTGTTATATAATTATAACCAATTACCTAACCACATCGAAAAATTGATACTCCAATTAAAAATATAATATAACTGAGTCAAAATATACTTAACATTAATAACAAATAAACATTAATTTCATTATTTATATCTAAATTAAAAATTTTAAAAACACATTAAAATATTAAAAAAATAAAGAGATTAAATTAATATATATATATATATATATTTTTTTTTTTTTTTAATTATTCACTAATGACCCAGTGAGCAAACGACATGGTGCAGACCACGAAAATGTCGAGCTTCAGCTTTCGCACTGGTCCCACATCGCCTTTCATCCAACAAGAAACCTCAATATTTTAATTTTATTTGAATATTAAAAAATAAATAAAGACAAGGAGAGAGAAAGAAAGAAAGAGAAGCTAAAACTTGTTTCTCAGTATAAATATTATAACTTATAAATAAATACATAATGAATAATTGTGTACAGTGCCTGTCCTCTTATTACCTCATTTCTTCAAAAAGGCTTTGAGAAGAGAGAGAAAGAGAAAGAAAAAACCAGAGTGAAGTTGCTCCATACCTTTGTTTTCTTCTTCTTTATCGTTTTCTCCAGCTTCTAAATTTAGCCTCTTCTCTCTTTCAATTCTCGTTCAAACTTCAAAGCTACCGTTCTATACTGTCCGATCTGACTCACTGAGTTCCTTCCTCTGCTCCACTCGGATGAGTTAGACAGAAAGATCGCGCCGCATTAATCGCCATGGTAAATTCCGATTAATCTCTATCTATTCTCTCTCTCCATCGTCTCCTTGCTTTTCCTTTGACTCCTTCAGCTGTTTCGTTGAATCTGTGAGACTTCGATTTTGTTTTTTATTTTTATATTTTTTAAATTCTTCTATTATTGTTTATATTTTTATTTTTAAATTCTTCCGCGCGACTTTGATTTGTTCGGCGGATTGTTTTTTGTTATAGCCTATTTTTTCTCCCGGAGTTTGGATGTTTCTGATAATTTTTTTTAATTTCTCGTGGCAAGAGTTATGTTAGTCGATCCACGCATTACTAGTAGAAGATCTTGTGAAATGGAGTTTGGCGAATGTGAAGGGTTGATGAATAAGATTGGGGTAATTGTGGGCAGTCAGTGTAGTACGTTATTATTTGCTTAGTTGCTTGGAATATCTATTTGATGAATTTAATTAGTCTTACGACATAGATGGAATATTAGATTGATCGTTGGAGGGAAGTTAGATAATAAGAAAAATAAAGGGATTCTTTATTCAGCATATTTCCCTATGAATAATATATTTGGAGGACATTAAAATAAATGAGGTGAAGGTCATAAGATTTACATGTTTGTTTTAAAAGGGAGCTGTCTAGTATTGACTCAATACTGAATATCGTGGCCTTTTTGCGGGAGAAGAAGGGTTGAAATAAGATTTGATATCTCCAAAGGTTGTGAAAGTGCCTTGAACTATGTTATAAGTGAGGCTTTTGCTGCAAATGCCATTGAATATATATAGATAAATAGCTAGCTTAGCTAGAGATTTAGTATCAAGGGAAAAAACAATAGTAATAAACCCATCCTACTTAAGTAAATAATAGCTTTTTGATATACAGTCTTTAACTTGAAATTCTGAATAGATTAGCAAGAAATTGTTCATTTCATTTGTGGTATTTCAAACTATAGGAATTGAAAATATATTGACTAAACATTGAGTTATGATAGATGGCATCACTTTGGATCTTGACTATTCTATGACCATCAATAATTGTGATAGTTCACAGCTGCATGGTGGTCCAGTTGCATGATCCAAGTATGACAACAGCTTTGGTGAATGCCAACATTGTTGCTTTTTCTTTGCACACAGTACTTGTTAACAGAAAAGAAAATTACATTAAATGATAACTACCCAAGCACAAACAACCCTTCCGTCCCTATCATATCACCGTCCTCACTGCCCCTGAGAGTCAATTCCTGGCAGCAGTTGCATTCTATGACACCTTATCCTCGCATTATGGTCAGCCCCTCTTTTAGATAGGCCTTTTTGAGACATTTGCAACAACTCTGATACCAATTTATTAGCACCCAAGCACATGTGAAACCCTCATTAAAAGCTAGCTGTCAAAGGGGGAGAAGCAATCTATATTATACAATGTGGGACTTAGGCACACCATAATACCTTATTCCCTATCTTATCATTATAAAATTTTGAAACCCATGCTTAGAGCATATGAAGCCCAAACATTCCTCATGTTCTAGGTTTTTGAATGTTGGACACGGTTCAAACATTGACACCTCTAATTAGTGTCAAACACTCTTTATTTGCCTTCCACTCGAAGAAAATGTGGATGGACATTCAAGGGCATGAGTATAATAATAAGATATTTATAGGTAGTTTTTTAAAAATTTTAGAACATGTCAGTTTAAGATGTAATATAAAAAATATTCATAATGTTAATATTTTTTTGTGAGGCTCATTATCACAGCAAGGTGCATATAACATAAATTAGAATATACAAATCTTGATTTTTATTTATAAACCTTGTTAAGTTGTTTTTATGTGTTATATATACGTGTGTGTGTGTGTCTCTCTCTCTCTCTCTCTCTCTCTATATATATATATATATAGAGAGAGAGAGAGAGCCAATTTTTTATGATTGTGAGAGGAATAAATATTGACCATTAGATTTTACTATAAATGGTCAAGATTAATACACATAAGTTATGTGGCTTTTTTAAAGGATCACTTGACTTTTGAAGACTTTTTATCTTCGTCATCCTTTATAGTTGTATGACCTAGATTTACTATTTTTACTCTCCTGATGAATCTTCTTGTCTCTAGATATGACTCACACACACACACATGAAGCGTAGCGAATGAGAATTTTTCTTTTGTGAGAAATGAAATCAATGAATATAGACTATTAGATCATATTTGAATGATATAAATGAAAAGAAAAATGTACAAGACATTTTTTAAGTGGTTATGGGACCACTAGAAACTTTTACTCTTGACTATTCATGTATTGTTGTATGACTCAATTTTGTTGTTCTTATTTCCCGAGACAAGAAGCGTATCGCCCTCTCTCTCTCTCTCTCTCTATATATATATATATATATATATATATATATTTGTGTTGTGTGTGTGTTTATGTATGCATGCATGTATGTAAGCTGTGCATAGTGTGTGCATCTATTTTGTGTCCACTTTACATGTTGGAGTCCATGGTTCATAGCTTACAATACTATCTATTATAATTAGTATTTTGATCATTTGCACATAATCTTGCTGAGATTATGATATTGCTTGGAATAATCATTCTCCATTATTTATTAATTGATCTAACATGTTGTTACAATATCTTTATTTTTATTTAAATATTTATTTGATTTTTCTCATTATATTTCCATTGTGAATTAGTATCATTGCTTTTGAAATAAAATGATCTAATGGAGTTAACTGTGGCATACATGCTTCTGTAAACTAAATCCTTTGGATTGGCAATGCCATTTATAGCGAGAGCACATATCCTTGCATTCCTTTTCTCTTCAACAACTTGGTTACGTATTAGTTATAGTTACTTACTTTAGATAATGCAAGCTTTAGCTAATAATATATATATATATATATATTTTTTTTTTTAAATACCTATTTTGTCAAAGTTTATTTTATTGTCAAAATTAATACAGTATGTGATTGATACGTGGAGTGGCAGTACTGTTTCCCTGATTTAACATTTATGCTGTGAATGTTTAATACGTTTGTCTTTGCAGTCTGCACCAGTAAATATTATTGTAGGTTCTCATGTCTGGATTGAAGATCCAGAACAAGCATGGATTGATGGAGAAGTTTCTAAAATCAATGGTGAAGAAGTCCATGTTCGCAGCACAGCTGGGAAAACAGTGAGTCAAATTGTCTGTACTGTGTATTGTGAGATTGTTGTAACCATTTTTGCTGTAATTCTGTGTCATTCTTACTTTGTGAAATCACTTTCAGAAATTATATAATTTTTCATGTACTATATGTTAAATTACAGAAATTCCCAACTTTATTATTTATCTCCTTTATGTTTAAACTGTTATGATTGTTTAAGTCTGGAAATCTGGTTGCAGGTTGCAAAAAACATCTCAAAGGTTCTTCCCAAGGATAATGAAGCCCCTCCTGGAGGTGTAGATGACATGACAAAATTGTCTTACTTGCATGAACCTGGTGTTCTGCACAATTTGGCAGCTAGATATGAACTCAATGAAATCTATGTAAGATTCTAAAATATCTATTATTTCATTTGTTACTGAGATTGTTTATGTTAAGTAAGATTTGAAATTATGAATGATACAATTGTGCTACTCCACCCATCACTATTGCAGACATATACTGGAAATATCCTGATTGCAATAAATCCTTTTCAAAGGTTACCACACCTATATGATACTCACATGATGGAACAATACAAAGGAGCTCTATTTGGAGAATTGAGTCCCCATGTTTTTGCAGTTGCAGATGTTGCATACAGGTTAGATGCCTATTATTTTCTATTTTATTTGTTTTTGTATGGCTTATTAATGACCATTGTTTATATTTATCAGGGCAATGATTAATGAGGGGAAAAGCAACTCAATCCTGGTTAGTGGTGAGAGTGGGGCTGGAAAGACAGAGACAACAAAAATGCTTATGCGGTATCTTGCATATCTTGGGGGTCGATCTGGAGTAGAAGGGCGAACAGTTGAACAACAAGTTTTAGAAGTATATATAGTTGCATTGTCTTGTTTTGGACACCTCACCTTTTTTTAAGCCTTATTCCATAACATTTTGTTCCTTTATATGATTTCATTTTGTTCTAGATTTTGTTAGGTATGTAGGGTGTTAAAAAAGTGTGGAAACTGTTCTCATACCTACTTCTGTATTAATTACTTTGCAGTCGAATCCAGTTCTTGAAGCATTTGGCAATGCCAAAACTGTTAGAAACAACAACTCAAGGTGAGTGTTCAGAGTCACATGTTATATCAAGTAAAATGAAAATTATCATAAATTGGTTAGGCAAAGTGATTGTGATTTTGTTACTTCATAGATAGACGGAAAGAAATTGCAATAGACCAGTTTGGTTTGTTATTGGCTAAATTCTATTAACTCTTAGAATTATGTGTTGTTTGTTGGCTATATTTTGAAGTAAAAGAAGACATTTTACATGTTTTTTTCTTGTTCAAGCATCATATAACATATGCTTGTCATATTTCTCTCAATTGAGATGCAGTCGTTTTGGTAAATTTGTTGAGATACAATTTGACAACAAGGGAAGAATCTCGGGGGCAGCTATACGAACATATTTGCTTGAAAGGTCCCGTGTCTGTCAAATTTCAGATCCTGAAAGAAATTACCATTGCTTTTACCTTCTCTGTGCAGCCCCAGCTGAGGTAAAGTGTTCTTTCTTGATGTTGAAATGTTCCCTTATCTCTATCGCCAAGATTGGCTCCTCTATTAAATTATTAATATATTCATATTTAATCATTGTGACTCTATTTTATAGGAAAAAGAGAAGTATAAACTGGGAAGTCCTAGCTCGTTTCATTACTTAAATCAATCCAACTGCTATGCTCTGGATGGAGTGGATGATGCTGAGGAATATCTTGCAACTCGAAGGGCAATGGATGTTGTCGGAATAAGTGAGGAGGAGCAGGCTAGTCTTTCTGAATCCTATTCTCTAATAAAATGAGAGTTTTTATAATTGCTTTAATGATATGGCCCTGTATTTCAGGAGGCTATTTTTAGAGTTATTGCAGCAATTTTGCATCTTGGAAACATTGAATTTGCGAAAGGAGAGGAGATTGACTCTTCTGTCATTAAGGATGAGAAGTCTAGGTTCCATCTTAATGTTACCGCTGAACTTCTTAAGTATGACAACACAACCCTTTTATAGATTACTGCATTATCATTTCATCAATTTTGTGTGCATTTTAACATAAAATTATTGCAGGTGTGATTGTAAGAGCTTGGAAGATGCGCTGATCAAGCGTGTAATGGTAACGCCGGAGGAGGTTATTACAAGAACCCTTGATCCTGTTGCAGCTCTTGGTAGCAGGGATGCATTAGCTAAAACTGTTTATTCCCGTTTGTTTGATTGGTAATGAACTTTTAGCACTGCTTTAATGTATAAAATAGATCCTGTTTCTTGCATTAATATGTTGAGGGAAAGAAAACTATTGAAGAGTTCTAAACTGAAATTCATTGTGGAAAAGAACCTAAACAATTTTATTCTCACTAGAGGACTATTTATTGACCTTAAAATTTGGCACATTTAATTCGAACATCAATTGAGAATTTTATTTGCCTATTTTAAATTACTTCAGAATTTATGATAAACATGGTTATAGTTGTTTATAGTTGAAAGAGCCATGCATTAGCATTCTGGAATTGTATGTTTTAACTACACTTGTGATTGGTCCAAATTTTTTCTAGATTTCTTTTCTTCATGGTGTCATATTCTGACAAATTCTCATTATTGCTTCCAGGCTAGTTGAGAAGATTAACAATTCAATTGGACAAGATCCAAATTCAAAATCTATTATTGGAGTTCTTGATATCTATGGGTTTGAAAGTTTTAAGTTCAATAGGTAAGCTAATGATTTCATCTAACACTTATGGTTTTGTATTTAGCTTGTATCTGACAAATTGCTTTTACTTAGTTTTGAGCAGTTCTGTATTAATTTTACAAATGAGAAGCTGCAACAACATTTTAATCAGGTTTGGTAATTTCTGGTTCAAATTAGTGGTGTATATTCTATAAGTTTTTTCCCTTGGTAACCAAATGTTTTTTAATCCTGGATGACTTCAGCACGTCTTTAAAATGGAACAAGAAGAATACACAAAAGAAGAGATTAATTGGAGTTACATAGAATTTGTTGACAACCAAGATGTTTTGGATCTAATAGAGAAGGTATTTTACTGTTGCTGCCTTATGACCAATTTATACTTTATTTGTTTTCCCACTCAATAAATTCAGGTAGTGATGATTTTAATATTCAATCTTTTGCAGAAACCTGGAGGAATAATTGCACTTCTTGATGAAGCCTGGTATGCAGCTGGGAGTGACTTCATTGTTATTGTAACATTGTTTAAGTTAGATATAAGTTACATGCATTACCTTTTCTGAAGTTACTTTCTCTCACTATCTCATTGTCATACCTGTATGCTATTTCCATTCTGTTTAAAGTAGGAAATAATAATAATACGACTTAATATCAGGCATTGTTTAAACTCTCTAATTTGGTTGGACTCATTAACCTCCATGTGTGATACAGTATGTTTCCAAAGTCTACACATGAAACATTTGCTCAGAAATTGTACCAGACATTCAAAAACAACAAGCGCTTCATCAAACCTAAACTTTCTCGGACTAGTTTTACCATATCCCATTATGCGGGGGAGGTAGATATATTTGGTCTTTTTTTCATTATATATTCCCTCTTATGACTTTCTAAATATTTTTTGTTGCTTCGTTCTTTTTGATGATTATTTCTTTGTCCAGGTGACATATCTAGCTGATATGTTTCTTGACAAAAACAAGGATTATGTGGTGGCAGAACATCAGGACTTGCTCATAGCCTCAAAATGCTCATTTGTGGCTGGTCTGTTCCCCCCTTCTCCAGAGGAGTCTTCAAAATCATCAAAGTTCTCATCAATAGGATCTCGCTTCAAGGTATTATTATATTTTACTACTTTTCCTTAAGTCTATTTTACTTTGTTACCAGTCATTGACATTCCTGTCTCAGATATATGGAGTGGTTTTCATGTTATGCATGTAGTAAATGACACATTTCTGAAACACGCAGCTACAACTTCAATCTTTGATGGAGACCCTGAATTCAACAGAACCTCACTATATCCGATGTGTGAAGCCAAATAATGTTCTCAAGCCTGCTATTTTTGAAAATGTCAACATTATCCAACAATTGCGCTGTGGTGTGAGTATATGATGGTGTTTCTTTGTCTTTGTTGCCTTTATATAATTGACCATAGAAGGGATAATATCTTTGGCACCTGTTTCCACTCGGTGAATGTTTGTCGGATTGTTACTTGCTTTAGGGTGTTCTTGAGGCAATTAGAATCAGCTGTGCTGGATATCCTACCAGACGAACCTTCTATGAATTTCTAAACCGGTTTGGTGTTCTTGCCCCTGAAGTTCTCGACGGAAAGTAATAATCTCCTTTTTGGGCTATTTTTATCTTTGAATTGGACAAGTGCTTTGAATTTGAGTCACCTCTTGCATTTTGTTTCCACTTAAGTGGTAATTGCTTTTACTTATTCCTTTTCAGCTATGATGACAAGGTTGCATGCCAAATGATCCTTGACAAAATGGGTATGAAAGGCTATCAGGTGATACTCCTTTGTCCTTACAACATGATCTATTGACAATGGTATGATGGAGGGTCAGTTTTAGAAAAGAGGATCAGCGAGCCATTTTCTACTATTTTTCAAAATAAATGTCACCTTGCCTATATATATATATATATATATATATATATATATATATATATATATCTGATTTGGTTTTATATACCATGGACATGATGGCCAATCTATAGCCAAACTTTTGCAGCTGAAATAATTTATCATAATAGCAAAAAACATGGTTATGATGTTGAAGCATTATAATACTCAATTGTCTGAAGACTCGAGGCTTTTGGCTTCTGAAACAACTTCATACTAATTCTAGACTATCCCAGGGAAATTTTTAACTTAAAAGACCAAATAGAAGTATAAGCTTTTGTCATGTCTGCTTGTTTGATACAGTCTGTAACTTCTTCATAGTTTCTGTATAACCTCAAGTGACTCCTGAACTTCATGATTATTATTTTTTCAACATTAAACTAAATGAAAGTCTATGTGAAGTATGAATTTTATATACTATGTAATCATATGGGATTTATGATGGATTACCAGATAGGAAAGACAAAGGTTTTCCTAAGAGCTGGCCAGATGGCTGAACTGGATGCAAGAAGAGCAGAGGTTCTTGGAAATGCTGCTAGAGTCATACAGAGGCAAATACGAACCCATATTGCACGCAAGGAATTCATTGAATTGCGCCGAGCTGCAATTTGTCTGCAATCTAATTTGCGAGGTATCCTTATTCCTTAGTTCTATCTGATATGTTTGCTTTGTTATTTATTGCTTCTTTGTTTGGTAGTTCATTACCTTAATGGCATGTTTGGACAAACTGAATTTCTAGAACAAATTGCTATTTTTTTATCCTTCTAAATTTCTCTTTGCAATATTTTAATAGTAAGCTGTCTTGAGTGCAAGATAATCTAATCCAAACATATTCTGGGACGATCTCTTATAAGAACAAACAAGCTGTTGGCATTGGTATGTGTTATTTTGGAGTGTCTGCTGCCCACAAAATTCCATTATGTTTTAATATACATAGTAGATAGTATTGGTTCCGAAAGGTACACATAACTTTAGCTGGTAATGTCTGATGTTATTATCATCTAAAATTCTTCCTCCGTGGATAGGATTGTAATTATCAACTCATAGATCTGTCTACAAATCCCAAATCCAGCAAATGTGATAACTTTCCATCTTTTCTCTTAAAAGTTAGGCATAGGGAACTAAAGGAAAACACGGATATTCTAACAAATTAGGCTTGCTATCAACATTTAAGTCCTGCTTCTTTTCGCATTATGTCTATGTTCCATAAATCCCCTGTTGGTATACTGTGTTAGTGTTCACAGCATTCTAAAATTCATGTGGCCTTAAATCAATTGCAATTTTCTCCTCATGTAGGTTTCTTTCTCATGATTTGGTCTTGTATAACCTTCTCTTAATCTGATACTAATTCTTATGGTGCTTTTCAATAACAAATAGGAATATTGTCCCGGAAACTTTATGAGCAGTTGCGGCGAGAAGCAGCAGCTGTAAAAATACAAAAGAACTTTAAAGGATACATTTCCAGGAATTCATACTTAAAAGCACGATCATCTGCAATTGTATTACAGACAGGTTTAAGGGCTATGAAAGCTCGTGATGAATTTAGATTTAGAAAGCAAACAAAAGCTGCAATTTACGTCCAGGTGCCCTTGTGATCTTCTTCATAGTTAGACTGTTACTTAAGAAAATGAAATCATGCAACTTTTTTACTTGCCTCACCATAATGATTTTTTGTGTTAATCTCTGCAGGCTTATTTGCGTCGGCTTATTGCATATTCATATTATAAACGATTGCAAAAGGCTTCCATTGCTACTCAATGTGGATGGAGGAGAAGGGTTGCTAGAAAGGAACTCCGAATGCTTAAAATGGTATGAATAATATTTTCTCTGTTGAGGTGTACTCAGTCTTCTTTAAAAAGGTGCCTTGGAAGTAATAAAAATGTAACTGCATTCAGGCTGCAAGAGAAACAGGCGCTCTCAAAGAAGCTAAGGACAAACTAGAAAAACGTGTTGAAGAACTTACTTGGCGTTTGCAAATCGAGAAGCGATTGAGAGTAACTTCATTATATTATATTTACATTTATTTTGATTTCCATGTTAATTATTGATATTAATGTTGCAAATTTAAACACCAGAAACTTTCTCTTATTTTAACTGATTACAGACTGATTTGGAAGAAGAAAAGGCACAAGAAATTGCCAAGTTACAGGATGCTTTACATGCAATGCAAATACAAATAGAAGAAGCAAATGCCAGGGTCATCAAAGAGCGTGAGGCAGCAAGAAAGGCCATCGAAGAAGCACCTCCAGTTATTAAGGAGACTCCTGTTTTAATTCAGGATACCGAAAAGATTAATTCTTTATTGGCTGAAGTCAATAGTTTGAAGGTAGGCAATTGATCATCGTATTGATAAATGACAATACCTCAGTAATTTAATTCATAGCATTTTCTGATATGAATTATTTATAAATATCTTATAAAAATATTTTGAAGACCCAATGGATTTTTTTGTACAAATGCCTCTACTTTACTAACTTAGTTTCTGCTTGGTTCTCTTAATTTAATTTCTAAGGAGTCCTTGGCCTTCAATCATCTTTCAAAATATAATAATGAAATGTGAACATAGTAATTACATATTATATGCTGAACTGCTCACAGCTCATCCTACAATTTGATTCTACCTAAATTGGATTCTTTTTTTTTTTTTTTTTGTATAGTTGTGGGGTATTATACATATTTACAATGAATAACTGCAAATTTATTGAGTACCCTTATTTAATCTCGGATACAGGAAGCACTGCTTTTGGAAAAAGAGGCTAAAGAAGAGGCAAGAAAAGCTCAGGCTGAGACTGAAGCTAGAAATAAAGAGATGGTTAAAAAAGTTGAAGATTCTGACCGCAAAGTGTATCAACTTCAAGAATTGGTTCAGAGGTTAGTAAAGTTGAGGAGAAAAAACATCTATATAGTTATGTATGAACACTGGTTCCATAGTTTCAAAAGCATGCATGAACTACTTTCAGTTTTTTATGACATCCCAGATGTATAACATTTAAGAAGTAACAGCTAAAGTGTTAGACATAAAGCTATTATTGTTCTTTATCTGTCCCCATTCTTATAAATTTAAAAAGGTGAAAGATGAAAATCAAGGACACCGTGGGCGAGCGTGTGCATTTTCTACAGTTTGAGTCTAAAGAGCTCTTGCGAGGTGGCATGTTGACTATATCCATGTTTCCTCACCTAGCAACTTAAGCTTTTGAATAATTGGTTTATGATACGAAGTTTAAATATTTTGAATTTCATATTTAACTATCCCCCAACCCTGCAATGCACCTTGGAATTACTCCTATCATAGTTCATCTTCAATTGTTACAAGCCATTCTCTTATATCAGTTCTTCATGTGTGTAACTTTTTTTTGCCTTGGATGCATTATACAATTATGCATATCTCTTTTGCCCATTAATAACCATCTATACCTACCTTGAAATAAAATGTAATCAGCATATTTCACATATCTTTCTATTATGTAGATTGGAGGAAAAAATTTCCAATGCAGAGTCAGAAAATCAAGTTCTTCGCCAGCAAGCACTGGCTGTATCACCTACTGGAAAAGCTCTGTCTGCAAGACCAAGGACAGTTATTATTCAGGTAAGAGAACAAAACATATTGTCATTACTTGACATTATAGCATATGAAGAGATTCACAATATGCTTTCATGCACAATATGCAGAGGACACCTGAAAATGGAAGTGCTCTAAATGGTGAAGCAAAAATTGAATCGGTAAGAGCACTGCTGTTTTATATAAGTATATATCAACAATTATTTGGTGTAATGGATTTTTTGTTTGATTTGTTAAATTCTCAACTTCTATATGTTTCAGGATATGACTCTTGCTGTATCCAATGTGCGTGAGCCTGAATCTGAGGGAAAACCACAAAAATCTCTCAATGAGAAGCAGCAAGTGAGTGGCTACATAGATTCATTGAGTAATCTGAATCTGTAACAAATATTTAAAATCAACTCTTCAGTTCAAAGTTCATATCTCAAGTTAATTTGTCTCAAAATTTTCACTTTCTTCTTCAGGAAAACCAAGACTTATTGATCAAGTGCATATCTCAAGATTTGGGATTTTCTGGGGGCAAACCTGTGGCTGCATGTGTCATATATAAATGCCTTCTTCACTGGAGGTCATTTGAAGTTGAAAGGACAAGTGTATTTGATCGAATCATTCAAACAATAGCTTCAGCTGTTGAGGTAACTCAATATTTTGGATTACGTGTATGTTATTCACAACACAGTGCTTTGCATTTAAAAGACGTGTCAATTTCTAAAATACCAAAAATATGTTACTAACAGTGAATTCTGCACCATTGAAGGCCCAGGATAATACTGATGTATTGGCCTATTGGTTGTCTAATACATCTACTTTGTTGTTGCTACTCCAACGCACTCTAAAAGCAACAGGAGCTGCTAGCTTAACACCACAGCGGCGGAGAACAGCATCATCCTCTCTGTTTGGAAGAATGTCTCAAGTATGAAGCGACTAATATACTTTCTGGAGAAAACATTATCAGTTTATGTGGATTTCATTTATCTTCTTACAATTTTGGCTCATTTCTGTGATTCCAGGGGCTTAGGGCATCTCCCCAAAGTGCTGCATTGTCATTTCTAAATGGTCGAGGTCTTAATAGACTTGATGATTTACGACAAGTAGAAGCAAAATATCCAGCACTGCTGTTTAAGCAGCAGCTTACTGCCTTCCTTGAAAAAATATATGGAATGATAAGAGACAACCTAAAAAAGGAGATATCTCCATTACTTGGACTGTGTATTCAGGTAATTTGTCAAAGTTTTTTGGGAGTAGCGGTGGGGTGGAAGTCAAAATTTTGTGAAATTCTAATTTGTCAAGGAGTTTGAGCAGTTAACAAATCGTGGAGTTTTAATTTTGATTTTAAATAAATGTCATCTTATATTTATATTAGTTGTGCAAGTACAAGAATCACAACTAATATCAATTCAAATTCACAAAATATAATTTTCTTATATCAGACATGCAGGCACCATACTCATAGTAAATGCTTAAGATTGATAACTAAAGAAAACATTCTCCTCCTACATGATTAATCAGAAAGAAATCCATAGCAATGAACAATTTTCATCTTTAATTGCAGCTGAAATAAATTGTATACAAGTAATCTATTAAATCACTTGTTGGATTTTGGGCACTCCTTCAGTCAAGCTACCTAGTAATTAACAAGGTTTACTCTCTGGGTTTTTTTTTATTAGTTTATTTATCTTGTCCGTGATAAAAACAATTGCAGGCTCCAAGAACCTCACGGCAAAGTTTAGTTAAAGGACGCTCACATGCAAATGCAGTTGCTCAGCAAGCTTTAATTGCTCACTGGCAAAGTATTGTAAAAAGCTTAAACAATTGTCTGAAGATAATGAAAGCAAACTATGTGAGTCTGACTTTCAATTTCTGTATTTTCACTGTCTGAGTTATGTGATCTTAACCAACCAAGTACTGGTTTAACAGGCGCCTCCTTTTTTGGTCCGAAAAGTGTTCACCCAAATATTCTCATTCATCAATGTTCAATTATTCAATAGGTAATCTCTCTCTCCTTACATTGCATGTAATTTCGCAGAATGCAGTCTCTTTGATGGACTTAATCTAATAATTACTGCAGTCTTTTGTTGCGTCGGGAGTGTTGTTCGTTTAGCAATGGGGAGTATGTAAAAACAGGTCTTGCTGAATTAGAGCACTGGTGTGTTGAGGCGACAGAGGAGGTGAGCAATAAACAACACTTTCAGATGTTTTACTTTTTCCAATTTTAAATCTTAACCTGAATCTTTCTGTGCAGTACACTGGCTCTGCTTGGGATGAACTGAAACATATCAGGCAGGCTGTTGGATTCCTGGTAAGTTACTTCTTCACAAATTCAAATTCAATCCATTGTTGATTAATTATGAAAAGTCTGACTCTCATTCTTCAATCTTAGGTGATACATCAAAAACCCAAAAAGTCCCTGAATGAAATTACGAAGGAGCTTTGCCCTGTGGGTACCTTCTTCCTTTCTGTCAACTATTTATGAGTTCACACTTGGCACTGTTTCTCTTACTAAGTCTAATATTCTTCTGAGACAGGTTCTCAGTATACAACAGTTATACAGGATAAGTACAATGTACTGGGATGACAAATATGGCACTCACAGTGTGTCTTCAGACGTAAGTTTACCTTGCTTGTTAATTTTTGTGACTAATCTGTTTGTAATAGTGGTTGAGTATATACATGTTGTAAACAATTTCCAAAGCGAAGCACCCGCAGTGTGCTAAATCTCGACATCTCTGATTGTATACAGGTTATTACAAACATGAGAGCTATGATGTCCGAGGACTCTAATAATGCTGTCAGCACTTCTTTCCTATTAGATGATGACTCCAGGTACGCTATTAACTTCAGCAAACAATTTGAAGTTTCGTTACTTGTCTTGGTTTTTATTGTAGCATTACTTAAACCTCGAGTATGGATGCAGCATTCCGTTTTCGGTGGATGACATTTCCAAATCAATGCAACAAGTAGAAGTAGCGGACGTGGATCCTCCTCCACTTATACGTGAGAACTCAGGATTTGGGTTCTTACTAGCACGCTCAGAGTGATGCAAATAGCTGGTGATTATTGCCTCTTATGCTCCATCTCGTGGCTATCCCCGGGCTATTGCACCAAGGTGCAGATGCCAAGCTGTGCATAAAATTTCGTTGTGGTTATGTGTATAGTATATTTTAGCCAATTCAGGCTTCTAATATTGGTTTGTTGCCTGGGTTAATTCATTTTTACCCCTCAAGTTTCATCGACACGAGGGGTTTTCTCAAAAGCCATAGTCACTAATGATGTGTGTCATGTGACAAATGGTGGGACATAGGTAAAGGCTGGTGGCCAGGCATTCTGTCACACCTGCCAAGGTTCTTTTTTCATATGGTTTGTTTTCAAGTGTTCTAGGTGGATGCAATTGGTGACTCCCATGTATTTTATAGGTGGTGGGCGTATTTGTTTCAGCCGATTGATTTTGTATTTACTTGTGCAATATTCTTTTTTTCTTTTTTCAAATATTTAATCTTTAAGATAGTTTTTTCAGAGACTGAGTTATAATGGAAGATGACTCAGTACACTTGTACAGACGTGAGATCATTTATTTGTGTTTCATTTTTTAATATTAGAGTTCCATTTTTTTTAAGGGTTAACTGTATCGGCAAATATCATGTTCAGAGCTACTTGGAGGACAACTGTTATGTTGAATATCAAAGAAGATTTCACCTTGAAACGAAAATTTCGTAAACACTTATTAAAGGTATTTGATATTGGTTGGTACTTGAAGCATATCATATATGGGAAGTATGAAGATGGAAATGAAGCAATGCACAACTAAGTGAGTAAGCATTGTCCATTAGTTATGGGTGAAACCCTTGCCTAATATTGGAAGGACAATGTATTGTTTAAATCCCCTTAGTGTTGACATATTCCTCTTGTTATACATATTATAGATGTTTAGTAATCCCTCTCCTTTTCCACTTTTTCTTACTTTCATGCTAAATTATGCAGGCTTTGAAATTCAGTATTAGAACAAGGGTATTCACTTGCCAAACCATAGTAGGTATAATACATTACAAATTGCCATAAAGCTCCTCACACTCCTTGCTTTTTCGTATTTAGATATATATTTTCACACATTATTCTTGAAATTGGCAAAGAAAAGAAATCATTCAATCATTATCAAATTGCTTTTCTTTTATCATTATTTGTATATGTAATTTTTTAAATAACCTAATTCTTTCAATTTTTTAATTTATTTTCAATAATTTGTTAAAACTGTATATAATTAAAAACAACTTCATATCTTAATTTAAAGTGTTGATTGTAAACTTTAGATACTTAAGAATGAATATATAACTTCTATAATATATGGATAAAATACTGATTATTATTACTCAAGTTATCTTAAGTTATTAAACGTAATGAACAGTATTTGAGATTAACAATTACTTACCTAAAATAACAAAGATAAAATTCACATTAAAAAAAGATTTATTTTTTAAGGGGGAAATAAAAAGATTTTTAAGTGAAAAAAAATATTTTAATGTTTTTTGGACAGGGAGAATATATATATATATATATATAAGGTTAAACCTTTCTTCTGGATGAATAATTTTTCTAAAAAGGGCGAGATCAAATACAAATAAACTTTTTTTAAAAAAGTAGATTTCCATAGTATTATTTAGGTGAAAATAGGTAGAGTACAAATTTTTAAAAATAAAATATACAATTATACAAAATAATATAAACATTCTTATATTTAAATGATGAAATACAAGCATTTTTCACTTATATCTCTGATTAAGTGTATTACTTTATAGATGAGTTAGAGAACCTTACCATATTAAAAAGTTAAGTCACTAATATTCTAATTAAAATTTGATATTAATTTTTTCAAAATAAATATTCATGGATAGAACACTTATGATTTTAATACAAGTGACTAATAAAATTTAATACAAGTAACTAATAAATTACATAAAAGCTATTTTTAGTTTATAAAAAAACTATGTATGATTTTTTTTATTTCTTTTACAAGTATTTTTAAAAAAATACTTGTTAAAAAAATATACTTGTGCGTTGTATATACCCCCTACCCACCCATGTCCGTATTTTTAGTGATACAAATGAACAAATAGAGTTACAACTTGAACAAAATACGTGGATTGATGAGTTGAGTAAGGAGTGAGACACAACAACATTCAGTATTTGAACTTGATGACATTTTCCAACACTATTGGTGATTGGATTGAGCTTCAACAGGTTGCATTTCTGATTTCTTTTTCTCCTTAAGAATTGCTTGTCTTGGCATTACTTCTAAAAGAAAACTTCCCCCGTTCCATATTGAGGCAGAAACCTTCAGTATTTGGAAAACTACATGCAACTCATATGACAAGAATATGGGCACAGCCAGTGCCATGGTTGCCACCGTGAATAAGCCTTGAAGAAAAATGTACATTAGCATGCGATTTTGATCCCCTAATAACCCACTTAAGCGCCACCATATGTTGTTTGCTTTCTGAGCCTTTTTCGAGAGTTCCCTGTGAAACAATAAAAGTCAATAAAAGCTTCTAGTTTTAACCCTCGTCAGAACTTTAAGAGGTAGGGAAGTATATGTATATTCATTGGTTACCTATAGGAAGTCATGACTTCAGGATCCCTTAAAAGCCTTTGCCTGCGCAAGACGTTGACAATGAGGAAGTATAGAACCTGCCATAATGTGTAAGCTACCAAGGGTACCAGAAACAGCCATGTCCAGAGAAAGGATTTATCTTCGACATAAGGCCACGTGGGTCTTCTAGCAGTTCCCTCTGGATGCATGGCTTCGAAGGTTGTAGGATTCCACCATCGAATAGTAAAGAAAACCAATCCTGGAAAGTACTACTGTGTTATAGGGATAATAAAAGTAAAATGGATGCAACAAGAAACATAAAGTTGGCATTTCTATCACAATTCTGTTCTACTAGTTGCATGATACTAACAATTGGATAAGTGCTGTTCAACAACAGAACTACTTTGTTCAACACATCACTTTACTAAAATGGATACAACAAGGACCCGTTTGGATACAAGGTACGAGTGCTCCTCCTGAGAGTTTGTCGACTAGAAATATAGAGCTTTTTTCAGTACAAAGGTTCTCAAAAGTTCTTCTAGCTTTGTAAATTGTATCCAAACAGGCGCCAAGAAATATAGATTTAGCAAATCTACTGCAAGTTCACTGAATGCTTATGTTTATCAATATGATATCAATCAAGAAAATGGGATGAGAGTGAACTATCTATCTACTACGGTGGACACCAACCTAAATGCCTTGATGTCGAAAATGGGAAAAAAAAAGAACAAACCAGGTATGACAGGGAGGGAAAGGAAAGAAGCTGTAGTGTAAGAGGCTGAACAATATGAGATGGATATTGATCAGATGTGAAAGACAGGATTGGTTTTAAGCTTGTTACAAATGAATCATTTAAAAATGAAAAGCATAATTTGGTGTAAAGAAAAATGGCTAGAGAGAAATCAAATAGATAAGCCATGCTAGAATATAGCTCAGCAAAACAGCTGGAATGATCATCATCTCAAGGAAAAGAGGCTTCATTGGAATGGTTATCAAAGGAAATATCTTAGCTAGCAGTATCAAACAACAAAAATTAAAACATCTCCAAATTTGTCAAAAACAGCGTTTGGAAGATTCGCAGCAGAAAAACATAGGAGATTGAAAAAATTGGAAATTAAATCTGAGACAGTTGGGCCTAACTGCATGATACCACTCTAATATCCTGTTAAAATTACAGAGATTTTAGTAGTGAAGGAAGAAAAGAAACAATTTAGATTTAATAATATGAAATTAACATTGATGTGGTGTGAATGATGCATATGATATGGGGTCATGTTTTTCATATATTCTCACAGAATTCATACAACATAACACTAAACATTCCATTCCAGATAAAAAGAAGATAAATCTTATACCCAATATGTGACTATTGAAGGTAGAAGTCAACAATTATCGTAGCAGAAGCCTACAATTTCCCAAGAATTTCTTTTTCTTGCTGAAAAAGACAAATAGAGAAACTATAAGAAGAAGGTATAATTTACCAGGTAAAAGATGGATAAGAACACTGACAATTTTGTCAACAGAACTGAAAACCAAGCTGCAACGCCAAACAATCAAAGCCCATGCTAACGGCCCCTGCAAAAGCTCTTGAATAAGACACAAATTTGACAGATGAATCATTCTTTAACGAAGGAATTAAATTACCAGGACAACGTTCTTACCTCAGCAAAAGAAAAGCAAACCATGAAAACCTTCTCATTTTTTGAGTAAAAAAGAAGATCAACCAAGAATATTGTATTGGCATAGTAGCAAAAATCCTGAAACACAGACAATCATGTAACTACTTTACTTTCATTGCGGGAACTCAAAATAGCAATATTAGTACTCTATCCTGATGAAAGTGAGTTACTAATTAATGGGAATCGAGGTAACGATTTTAATTATTAACACATGGAAACACATTTTAAATTGACAAAGCCCTTGCCATTACTAATGTAGTTTCCTTGTCCAAAATATCTGACAAATAAGATTAATGTTTTAAAAATCCATCTTTTCTAAATGCTCTATCACACATCTCAACCATGTCGGTAGTTGGTATTCACAGTTAAACCCTCTTTTTGCTAACTGGTCTATACCACATAAGAAAGAAAAATAACATGATAAGCACATATTTATAACGCAACTAATCCTTCATCTTAGTTATTTAGTAATAAGTGTAACACATTCATAAAGGAGCAAGGATCTCCCCCCTGTCCATGACTACAACATTGGAGTGCAGTTTTTCCATCTCTAAGTTTTGACAATAACAGATTATTTATCAGTCACTTATCTCAAAAAGCTTGTGGGCACTACAAATACAACAAAACTCAAACTCATCCTCGAAGCAAACATAATTTTCCAGAATCAAATAGTGATTCAAAACATCACACAAGTACTGTGCCCTTCACAAATGAAATTCGAGATACGTTAGTTTACCAGTAGATAGTAGTGCCATTTCTTGAACCTGTAGTATATCCAACGAAGAGGAACAAAGATGACGTAGAACAAACAATATACATAGGGAATGTCTTGGGGTCCTGGCAAGAAAAACAAAAATGGCAAAAAACTAAGAATCTATATAAATAAAAAAATATTCGAAAACAAAGCAAATGCATTAATTAAAGTTGTCAACTTACTTGCCCCTAGAAGGAAGCAAAACCCCCCAAAGCCGAGGACCCCCACGAGATGCGTCACCTGAACATAAAAGCAAGAATGATCAAGAATTAATGCAGGTCGTTCAATATTGACTATCCAAAGGGTCAAACCATTGAATTGTTCAACACCCAGATAACAATTTTTGAAAAAGAAACATCTTGAAACGAAAAGTGAAATGCGAAAACGCAAAAAGCCACCTTGTTGATGAACCTTTCGTGTTCCTCAGCTTGTTTGGCAATCTTAACGGCCTGTTTGGAAAGCATTTGCTTGGTGCGCACGGCTTTTTTGGACAGCAACTCCTTCGTTGAGACAAACCCAAAAAAAAAAGAGAAACCACACGTAAAAAGCCAGAACCAACAGCGTGCGGCATAAAAATGAAACCAAAAAATGGGTTGAGTTTTACCTTAGATCTGTCCCTGAACCTCTGTGGGGGCTTTGGAGGAGATTCGCCATTAGCATAGTCTGCTGCATTTGCATGGTCTTCGGCGTCAGACATTTTAATTTTCAGTAGCCAGTGGCGAATGAGAAAGAAGAGATATAGAAAAGATGGCGTTGTGTTTTGTTGTGATTGGAACTATCACAATTCAAGACGCGCAAATCAACCTGGCATGAAAGCTTTTAATTAAAAATTGGAACTTTCTGGTTAATCTATGATTTTTTTTTTATGTCTCAACTTGAATGAGTATTACGTTGGACATAGTTTTCTCTGACGTGTAAAGAAATAATGCTTTTAATTAATCATCCATTAATATTTTCTTTTATCTTATCTTATACAACAAAATTAAAAAGATGCATCTGTGAGATAAGTCTGAAGAATATTTTTAAATGGGAGATTCTTTGTTCGAATTATGTAAAAATAATTGTTGAAGAGATTGTAAAAATAAATTAAAAAACAGGGTCGATGTATATTCTTATAAATTAAAGTTTATAATACACCAATATTTTAAATACATAAATTAAATTTCATTTTCTGATTGATATATATATATATATACTTATTATTATCTTTATTTTTTGTCTCTCTCTTATGACTTTATTTAATTCATTTCCTCTTATGCAAGGTTAGATGTCCTTAACATGTGAAAATAAAGAAGATGCAACAAATCATAATAGTTTCTTAAATATAATTTATTAATTTTAATTTAAAAGATAAAGATGAAAAAAAAACCGAAGTAATCAACTAATTAATTATGATCTCATTTTTCACTTGTCAAGACTTAGTTTTATCCGAATTTATTTTTTTACCTAATTTCATAAATTTATAAAAAAAGTTTTTTTTTTATATATGGCTGTATTTATATATATATATATATATATATATATATATATATATATATATATATATATATATATAATCTAACGTGAACATATTAATTATATTATAATGGATTATCCAGACTTGAACCCGAAACTAATAGATGAAGTGATAATTTTTTCTTTAATAAAATTCAACAATAGAATAAAAAAATCCCTATTTAATCCTTTTTTTCATTTTTATTTGTGAAATAATAAGTATAAATGAATTTTTTTACCGTAAAAAAAATAAAACTTTAAAATAAAGAATCACTCTAAGTTAAAAAAAATACTTAAATATAATTTTTTTAAATTTATTTATCCAATTAAACCTGTTTATTATATACAAAATTCAATAACATAAAACAAATTTTTATAATATAATATAAATATCTTTCTTTCTTCTTTTGTTTACTTTTTTTCAACAAAATAATATACAATAAAACTGAGATATTACAAATATTCTTGTTATAATTAATAAGAAAAAATATTTAATTTGAAATAATTTTTTTACAACTTTTTTAAAATTTATAAGTTAATTAATTATCATAACTCAATTTAATTATAATTATATTAAGTTATTAAGTAAAAAATACATTTAAATTTGATATTTTTTAATTAGATAAGTAATTATTATTATGATAAAATATTTTTAAATTAATTATTTATATTATAGTAAATAAATTTATTTATTATCAAAATAAATGAAATCATTTATTGTAATCACACTTTTTAAATAATTAGTTAATATATTTTTAGTTCGGATTTTAAAATATTTATTTTCACATATTTTATTAAGTTTTAATATAGTAATTTAATTAAAAAAATAAGTGAGATAAATAAGAGACCTATATAAAAAAGGAAAATAAGAAAAAAACAAAAGTAAACAAAATTTTCTATTTAAGTAAATAAAAATATTTGAGTAATTTATCTTTAAAAAATATATTATTTTTAAGATTTATTGACTTAACTGAATGAGTTAAAAAAATATCAAAATGGGAGGAAAATATTTTTTCCAATATGAAAAAAAAAGTAGTAATTAAATGTGTTACTCAGAATATTTATTAGATAACTAGCGAAAACAGAAAAAAGTATGTTGCTACTATGTGCTGTTGTTCTATTATGTTACCAGAACAAGGTTATAAACAACGTAAAAAAAATATGAATACAAATATTTGTTCAATTCGTCTAAATCGATTATACGTGAAATTTGATTATATAAAATCTAATTATAAGTAAAATTTGAGTAAAACAAATATAAATGATTTGGTGCTACTTCCGGAAAATTCAAGAACAGCATCGAGGTCGCATAAACATTAAATGCATGTAATTTATGGCACGTACGCATATTTTTGTTGTACATACTAAAAATCAAAATCAATGAATTGTTAAATAATTTTTTTACATGATACTAATTATAATTATAATCTAAGCATTATTGAATTTTTATTTAATACTCATTTTGAAATATTTATTTATTTTTTATTTCATTAAATGATACTTAAACTTTTGCAAATCTAAAATTATTAAAAAGATTATAAACTAACATTAGAATAATTTGTTATTGACTAAATTTAATATCTTACAAAAATAATATTAATATTTCACTGTTTCATTTAAAGTATGTGCAATGGGAGTTATTTTATTATATTATGTGGATGTTTTATTAATAAATACTTTTTTTTACCATATATTTTGGTTACTTAGAATTTTTATAAACAACGAATTTTATGAGTTTTTTTTATTTACATTAATATAAGATAGAATATAAAATGTTGAAAAAAGAAAAAAAACATAAATTAATAATTTTATTTGAGCAAAAATGAATACAAATTGTTTAAAATTAAAAATAAGACAACTTATTGGAAGAGTAACCAGATGCACTTAAGATCATAAATTATTTAATTTCTCAATCTCTTTTTCTGAACGAAACATTTCTTTTTTGTCTATTAAAATTCTTAACTTTCCTTTTTTGTCTTAACCAAACATTGCGATAACAAGAGACATTAAAAAAAACAAGGAAGTTTTCATTTCACAAACATCATTTAAATTATTGAATGGTGTCTTGAAAAAAAATTAGTACACATCATATTATACATTAAACATTAGTGCAAAGCAAAAAGTGTGCAGGTTATAATTTCATTTTCTAGAAATGCTTGAGAAATATTTTATGATTGAGCGAAATGTATTAGAATTTATAAACCATGTGAGTTTCAAAAGTATTTTTTCTTGATCGTAAATAAAGGTAGGAAAAAAAAAGTAGGTTCCGAATTTGGTTGCCACTTTCTTAATTGTTTGTTTTTGACAAAATGTTGTCCGTTTGAAAAAGCGGCAAACGTTGGATTGGAGAAAAACAAAGCAACAAACGAACAACATCACAACTCATTCGGTATGGTTTTTTCTTCTCATACCCACCTTTAAATATCTCTCCTTTTGGAATCAAAATTGGATCTTATTTTATTTCTTTCGTTGCAGATTTTGAATTTTGCCTCCACCTTCTTCTTGTGATGTTTTCGGTCCTTTCAACCCCACCCCGTAATCTACCTATCCACTCATCATCTTCTTGTTCCATTTTTATATATGATTTATTAGTCTGTTATATTTTATTGTAATTTCTTTTTCAGGTCTCATAAATGCGTTTCTTTAATATTGATTTCTGGATCATTTATGTATCATATGAATTAACTTTTTTTTTTTTTTTTTATCTTTCTGTTGGTTTGTGGACAAAAGATAATGTCTAGAGTTGAAGGTGGTAAAAGGAGTGGTGAAGAGGAGAACGATTTGTTATTAAAAGATGTTGAAACCAGAGGTAAAGCTCTGAGCAGAGACAAAACCTCGTCCACAAATTCAAAATCTTCCAAATCCCAGTTACTTGATCCCAAATCCAAGCCTAAAGCTAAAGATAACTTGCGTAAGGATAAGAAGTCCATATGGAATTGGAAGCCGTTGAAGGCTCTTTCCCTCTGTCGCAGTAAGAAGTTCAAATGTAGTTTTTCTGTCCAAGTCCATGTGATTGAAGGGTTGCCTTTGAGTTTCAATGATTCTTGCCTTTGTGTGTATTGGAAGTTGAAAGATGAGCATTTGGTGACCCCTCCAGCTAAGGTGATTCAAGGTGTGGTTGAGTTTCAAGAGATTTTGACACACACTTGCTTAATCAATGGAAGAAGGAGTGGACCCCAAAATTCTGCTAAATATGAAGCTAAGCATTTTCTGCTCTATGCTTCTACGCCTGGTGCCCAACTTGATTTGGGAAAGCACCGGGTGGATCTCACAAGGTTGCTTCCGCTCACTCTGGAAGAGCTTCAAGAGGAGAAAAGGTCAGGGATATGGACTACAAGTTTTAGATTATCTGGAACCGCAAGGGGTGCAGTAATGAATGTCAGTTTTGGCTATATCAATGTTGGTGACAATACTAGTTCTACCAGAGACAACAATAGTGATCCTCTTAATATACTCACTCCCAAAGAATATTGTATGCCTTCGATGGATCCTCTTAAACCTAGTCAGGTTGACAGGAGGATTAGATATACTGGAAGTTTGCCAAACTTTCCCAGTAATTATTATTCATCTCAAAATGTAGATGAGATGAAAGATCTTCATGAGGTGTTGCCATCATCAAAATCAGCTCGAGCCAGCTCAGTATACATCTTTTATAAGGATTTTGTTGAAGAAAAGGGTTGTAGTCCTCTGCGTGACAAACCTGAATCTGAGGGAATTAAAGAAAATATCGACCCAATCAAACCAGTTGTTTGTTCTTCATCTGATAATGAAAAGGAAAAGGCTGAAGAGAATCCAGTTAATGTGGAAAAAACATGCAGTCTATTGCATGACAAACCTGAATTTGATGTGTTTCAAGAAAACCTGGAGACAGTTACGCTGAATGAATATCCTTTACCTGATTCTGGAATAGAAAATTTCAAAGAATGTGAAGGTAATGAATTTCATGTTGTTGATAAGGGCATTGAATTTTCATCAGATGAACAAGTTGAACTTGAGGAATCTATTGGAAAAGCTTTTGTTGATGTCTACACAGTTGACAGTACTCGGACCCTAGACAGTGCTGGTATGCAAGTATCTATTGAAGACCATGATAAACAGGATTCCCTGGATGAACTAAGCAAAAACTCTAAGGAAAGTGTTGCTGTACGTGAATTTTCTAACGGAAAGGATGACTTGTGGACGAAAGAACTTCTACTGCAAGAATTAGAATCGGCTTTAAATAGTGTCTCTGAGTTCGAGACAGCGGCAATGGATTCTCCTAAAATCATGGAAGTAAAATCTGAATATAAGTTAAGAAAGTCACAAAGCTTGGATGATTGTACAGAATCAATTGCCAGTGAGTTTTTAAGTATGCTAGGCATAGACCATAGTCCAAGGGGTTTGAGTTTTGAAGGTGAGCTTGAGTCTCCAAGAGAGCTCCTTCTAAGACAATTTGAGAATGAAGTTCGATCAGAGGGCTTCTCTTTGTTTGATTTTGACACGGACAGTGATAATGAAGCAGATGGTGTTTATGATTCGTCTTTTGAATCTAAGCATTTGAAGTTCTCTAGGGGTATTAAGCCAGCATCCTCAATGCCAGATCTACGTAGAGAGCATCTAATTGAGTTTGAGGATTTGAGGAGCAAGCAAAAGGTCCAGATGCTAGAAGACTTGGAAACAGAAGCCTTAATGCGTGAATGGGGTTTGAATGAGAACGCTTTTCAGCATTCTCCTACAAAAGATTATAATGGCTTTGGAAGTCCAGTATATTTTCTACCTGAAGAAACTACTCTACCATTACCTCCTCTGGCAGAGGGGTTTGGTCCTTTTCTTCAGACCCAGGATGGAGGGTTTCTACGGTCAATGAATCCCTCGCTTTTCAGGAATAGCAGAACTGGTGGGACATTAATCATGCAGGTTTCCAACCCTGTTGTGGTGCCTGCTGAAATGGGTTCTGGGATAATGGAGATTTTGAAGTATTTCGCTTCGGGGGGAATTGAAAAACTTTCCAAGCAGGCAAACAAGTTAATGCCTCTGGAAGATATCACAGGGAAGACAATGCAACAAATATCAAGGGAAGCAAAAGCAGTCTTGAAGGGAACAAACAGGTTTGTCTACCCTTTTTTCAGCACTTTTCTTTCATGTCTTCAAATGATTGACTGATTGAATTTCGCTTCACTGTATGTAGGCAATTCCAATTGCAGCATGATTTGGTAACAGGACAGGATTCTACTTGCGCGCAAAAAGGCTTGAAAGGAACACTATCTGGTCGACTAATGTCTAATAAGTTCAGTTCAGATTCAATTGGCAACCATGGAGGCTCAGAGTTTGTTTCATTGGATGATCTGGCTCCATTAGCTACGGATAAAATTCAAGCACTTTTACTGGAGGGTTTGAGAATACAATCTGGGATGTCAAATGAGGATGCACCATCAAACATCATTGTACAATCCTATGGGGACATTTCAACTCTGCAAGGCAAGGGGGTTAGTATTAGGGGGTCCCTTGGTCTGGATGGAACTGCTGCCATGCAAGTGTTGGATACGAAAAACAGCAACAGTGATGAATATGATGGTGTTGATGGCATAATGGGCCTATCATTAACTCTTGATGAATGGATGAGGCTGGATTCTGGTGAGATTGATGATGATATAGATAACATCAGCGAGCATACTTCCAAACTTCTTGCTGCCCATCATGCTAATTCTTTTGACTTGATTCGTGGGAAGAGTTCCAAGGGAGAGATGAAAAGAGGCAGGAAATGTGGTTTGTTGGGAAACAAATTCACGGTAGCTCTAATGGATCAGCTTCGTGATCCTCTGAGAAACAATGAGCCGGTTGGGACACCAATGCTTGCTCTTATTCAAGTCGAGAGAATGTTCATCCCACCAAAGCAACAGATATGTAGGCACTTATATGAGGCAGGGAACAACAATGATGAGTGTGAAATGGTACCCAAGGTGGAGATGAAGGCCAACGAAGAAGAGAAAAGTTATGAAGAGGAGGCCATTCCTCAGTTCAAAATTACGGAAGTACATGTTGCAGGTCTAAAAATTGATCCTCGCAAAAAGAAGTTTTGGGGCACTTCAAGACGACAACAGCAACAATCTGGTTCCCGCTGGTTGATTGCTAATGGAATGGGCAAGAGCTCGAAGAATCCACCATTGAAGTCAACTGTTGTATCTAAATCTAGTTCTCCAATCACCACCACAAACGTCCAAGAGGGTGATACATTGTGGAGCATATCATCTCGTATCGGTGGTACACCAACAAGATGGAAGGAATTTGTAGAACTAAATCCACACATAAGAAATCCCAATATCATTAATACCGAATAAAACCATAAGGGTACGTTGACTGGTGCATGGAGTGCTCATCAATTCATATATATGCTATTGGAGGGATTGTTGTATGATTTGGCCATACACGGTGCATAGATCCAGTAATCATCAAACTAATTTATTAAGGAGAATTAAATTAACTTAAGAGTGTTTTGGTGCGATGGAAGAGAAAGGAAATGGTATTGGCGGCAGAGTATACCTATCACAGGAGAATCAATTAATTGTACATGTCTCACTGAATAACACTCTTTTAAATACATTCCTTGTTTTAGACTGAAGTTTATAAAAAATAATAAAATTTGATAAATTTTACTATTTATTTCATGAGTCTCTTTTTATAGTTTTTATTAATTTTAATAATAAAAAAATGTGCATTAAAAAAGTGTGTTGTTAACTCTCTCATAAACCTAATCGTCGTCATGGATTCTCTAAGAACAAGTTAGGGTCTGGCACTTAAACAACTCGAACCTTCTTATCCTATGCAACTTTTGCGCAATTCTTTTTTAAAGCTAACATAAGCGCGGACTAGGGACCAGTCAAAGAAAATTGGTGATTTGCAGAAAACTAAAGCAAGCGATACCAAAGATATCCAAGTTTTTTTACATTATTTTAGAATAATTTCATATATACTAGTACTCTTAATTTCTATAAGAAAATTATCATTCTTAAATTACATCATCCTTCATATTTCATTTATTTCTTTTTACTATTATAACTAAAAATAAAATAAAATAAAAAAATCCAGGTGATTTTTTTCTGTTAGTTCGATGAGTGAGAAAAAAATATTGTATAAAAATGTTATTTTTAAAAACATCAAATTTAATTCAAAACAATATATTTTTTGCTTCATTATGTTATTCAACTTTTTATTATAAAACCATGTTCCTTTTCCTATAATTTCACACCAATTTAAGTAAGTGTCCAAGGCTAAAGAGAACAAATTCTTTCGAATTTTCTTAAACAAATAATAAAAACTGAACAATTCTATTTGATCTTTCCTTTCACTGCTTTCTGCTTTCCCCTGGCATAAAACAATGGGTACAAGTACTTGAAATACCGTATCAGTTACCATAGCCGAGTGTGAAGGAGACGTACCTTCAAATAGTGTGGAACACTTGTTTCTCTTCACACTTCCTTCCTATGTTCTCTCACGCATCAACAGCACGGTGCAACATATCCAGTAATCATCACACTAATTAATAAATCCTCTGTTCTAACTAAATTTCATCTCTTCTATGTAACCTTTATTTATCCGCCGGCCACAAAAGATGATGGAACACTTGGCAGATTTTGAACACACATGAAACTATTAAACGAATAATCGTCATCCTAACTCAAACATGTCAGGCACCTGGTAGCTCAAATCATCGTCAAAATGATCACGCGTAAAATAGGACATTCAAATTTTCTAAAAGAATCAATAAAAGATAACATTAAAGAAAAAGAGATAAACTGACAGATTTCCCCCAATCACTGCCTCAGCGTGCATTAGTATGAAAAACTTGAACACATTCACTAAGAACATAGGTAACGTAACGTATAGTACATACGCTACATGTATATATGATATAGCTTACATGAATAATTATTATTCTACATGTAATTTGTCAAATTTGGTCAGGCACCCAAAATGTAGATGCCGTAACAGTATAGGAAAAGGGTAGCACAAATTGTCTGCGCATCTTCCAAGTTCTGGAAACCACAACCCAATCAAAATTGTTCAATGATATACCTTGACGTGGGGCAGCTTGACCCAGTAGGAAGCATCTTCTCACAGTGAGCTCTTTACGGCAGCAACTTCAAAGGGCAGAAACTGTTCGAATCCGTAGTTAGCCAGTTAGTATCATTGAAATAATTTAATGCCCGCCAATCATCTCGCCCCAGTATCTGGCAGCAGTATTATAACAACAAGAAGTGAGCAAGAGCAGAAAACGATACTTCTAGTAGTAGTGCTAAAAGGGGGATCGCAACAAAAGATGCATCAAATAGAGAATAACACAAGGATAGATCGTAAATGCAGAGCCTACAGAAAAAGAAAAGGACAAAAAGAGCAAGAAAACTTCCACATCTGAGATACAAAATTGTAAATTATTCATGCAGTGTGTTTGGAAAAACATTGGGTCCGAAGTAACCCACGTTTTTCCCAATTCACCAATATATTTCCTTCTCCATTTTTGGCTTTGGATTGTGTGAAAGGACGTTTGGTGCCTTGTAAACGGCAAACCAAACACACACTAAGTAAAAGTTATCCCCCGTTCTTAACCCATCCATCCTACTGGCGTAGTTTAAAACACAGCAGAACGAGAAAAAATTACCATTTTTATTTTGCGTGTCTTCCTTTTGCACTGGGGCATGCTGTTCAAGAAACTGCTGAATTGTTCTCCAGTAGTGATCACCTCCAGCCAGCCAAGTATCCATATGCATGCCAGTAGGAAACTCCACAAAGAGACACTGATTATTACGAGCAGCTGCCTTAGCGTAAAGCAATTGCATATGTGATGGGGGGACCATCTCATCTTGCAATCCAGATAGAAATAGGATAGGTTGTTTGATCTGCAATAAATATGTTCATAAACGGGGATGCTTAAACATATAAATCCAACTATACACACAGAAGAATAGGTCAGAAGCAAAAAATACAATGCCCTTCTGCACTTATTGGCACACAAGCACAGCTAACAGACAGAGAGATGATCAAAGTTTAAAATTAACTTCCTTCTTAAAAGACAGAGAATTAAGCCCCATTGTCAACTTGATGTCAACTATCCACAAGTATGAATTGAGATAAAACAAGCCATTATGCCCAAGTGATCTAATTCTCTTCGGTGGAAAAATAAAAGGCAAAACTTAAATTTCCAGCATCCCTCACCTGTCCAACAACATCAATAGTACTCCATGGGGAACGTACAAGAAAATTGAGTACTTTGGGACCTTTTGAAGAGCTTCCTCCGATAAACCACTTCAAAAAAGGTAACAAAACTCCAGCCATATCCAATATAGATGTGAATGTATTTTCAAGTATCAGTGCAGCAACCTAAAACACACATAGGTCATCGAAGAATGAAAATTAGAGATGAACAAACAAAGTTTGCTTGAGATGCCTAAATAAATTTCCGAAAGATTGCACCAGTCTTTCTTTAGACTAGTTATTTTAAAATTAGTTGCAAAAAATTCTATAAAAGAAATGTTTGAAGAAGAAGAAGAAGAAGAAGCTATCAACATGTTGCAGGGTAAAGCCTCTGCTAGAAATATCACTTAAATTAATTAGTAAATATAGAGAAAGCAATAAAAATGAAATTCTTTATACATGAATAAAAAAAATCTAAAAAATATTTTGAAAGAATAAAAAAGGTTCAATGACCATCTTCATAGCTATTCAATTTTACTTAACTGTTTGAGTGCATAAAAAACTTATTCAAATAAAGATATTTCTCCAAACTTAGTGTCCAAAAACTGGCACCTTGAAGCCAATTGTAAAGAATCTAATTGCGCTTGAGGAGCAATAATGATAGTTAGTAAAATGCATCATGATAAATATTCCATAAAAATAATAAAGGCTGGGATTCCTAAATTTTCACCCAACAAATAACAATAAGCAGAAGCTTACTATATGTAAGCTAAAAAAATAAACTTTTATAATCCTATTTAAGGAAATGACTTGTAGGAGCACTTGAAACCAATACCATAATCATAAATTTAACAATCCTGTTAGTAACATGCAATTTTTCCTGGTGTGTACCACGGGGAAGAGCAATAAAATTGACTCAATCATCTAAAAAGGATAGAGTCAACAAGTTCAATATTCTTTTCTCACACAATGTTGAGAATCATGAAATAATCAATGAATCTATCCATGTGAAAGGAAACTTTTGCAAACTATATGTGGTTGTGCTATATACCTTGTGAATCCAGCAAGCTATAATACACAGTAATACATATATATAGCATTAACAATATAAAGAAACATTTATCTGCTGACAACTAAAATATAGCGAGCTATAATCCACATCAGGGATAACTGAATCAAAAGCTCTTTAAAATTTACCAAGAAAAACATGAGCATTACAATATGCAGTTTTCAAGGCTGGGTACCTTGTCAGGGTTATTTTTTGTTAGTACAGCTCCAACTGCACCCCCAAGTGATCGTCCAAACACAACAATTCTAGACGTGTCAATATCAGACCTTTGGGAAAGATGGTCCAATGCAGCCTGGGCACAATAAGGCAATAAAATTGAAAAAAAAAGAGGTTAGCAAATAATTTGACAACCAGAATATGGGAATTATTATTAATCAAGAAGCATACTTGAGCATCCTGTATGATTCCATGCTGAGAAGGATAGCCATCACTTGCTCCATAACTACGCAATTGAAAATTATACATTAGCGCCAAATCAGTCAGGTCATATTTGCATTTTAAATAGATGAATGTGCAAATACAGATCAACAAGGAAAAATCATGATTAGGGAGCCAAGACTGATACATACCCTCGGTAAGAAAGCATGAAAACATTACATTGTAACTGTTGCAACATTATTCGAACCAATTCAAGACGATGAGCAATATCTAGAAAGTCAGGAGTCAAGGCCTATAAAAGCATATTGAACCTGATCAAGTAAACATATGTGAAAAAATTATGATCACAAACTATCTATCTACAATAAGGATACTTCCAGCATTTTCTTGAAAAAACAAAATGGTCGGACCTGTCAATGGAACAAAAAGAAAGAAGAACTGCATTAGAACGACATCAGAGTACAGAAAAACACTGAATAAAAAACAAGTATATGACAAAGTGAAACTTCATTCATAACAACCTTAATGAAGATATTGTAATCTAAATTCTCAAGTAACGAGTCTTCATGATTTGGCTCCTTTAAATTGAGGGTTACATTATAAAAATAATGCGGACTTACCACTCCCATTAGAAGATCAGCAATAAAGATTGTAAATTTGTAATAACTTCATGAGTTTCTATGCAAGTGTTATGTACTTGCATTTTATCGGGGACAAAAAACATATAATTCATCAAGTAATTTTCTTTTTTGTTCATTATCTAGGAGTATCATCCCCTTGGAGGTTTGACAGGCATAAAATAGGTGGACATTCCCTCCCAGCTTGAGTTTTCTACATTCTCAAGAGTTAAATAACGAAGTCCCTTGCCTCTCACACCAACCCAAGTTGGTAGTTCCTTCGGTACTTTTGATATTATTCTCCAATCACAATTAGTGTTCCACCGCAGCAACCCGTGAAATTAATGTTCGCATCAGAGATCAACATCGATTACAAAGATAAAACTCTAATTTTATTAACACCACCAAAAAAAATCTGTAGAACTGTATCTAAGTCTTGCCTTTTTATTAAAATCCAATCCGATGTTTCTTTAATCAATAGATGCATCTGTTCTCAGTCCTCTAAACTGCACTCATTCACTTAAAAATGAGCCAAATCCTAGTGCTTAAACCACTATATTTTAGCATCCTTACAACATTTCCTCCCGTCAGCTATAACAACGCCGGTAGGTATGTCACGGGAAGACAAGAACTTCACAAAGCTAAACAACAGTTATGCTCCAACTACACAATGCGACACGAGATAAACAAAATCTAGAAGAACCACAGACAATTGGATCAGCATTCAGCATGAATACAATTCCACTCCATTCACTCCAATGCAAACAATCCCCTAATTTTCTTTACGATCTAGGTTTCACCCATGACACGCCACAAACTAACGAATCAATTAAACTTGTAACAAAACATGAAGTGACAGTAGTAACAGCAAAGTAGGTGGTAGAAGATTGAAATAAAATGAAATCGGTGAGAAGAGAATGGCGAGGACCTCGGCAATCGGGGAAGAGCTTGATGAACCAGGCGTGGAGGCGAACGCCGTCGGCGGAGCGGAGCCAGATGTCCTCGTAGGTGAGCCTGAGGCGAGAGGGGTTGATGGCGTAGGACTTGGTGAGGCCAGGGAGCACCGGAACATAGACGAGCTTCTCCTGAAACGCCACCAACAATGCCATCCCTGCCACCACCAACCCTCCCACGCCGTACAGCAAGATGTTCACATATGAAACCATTCTCTCTCTTCCTCTCTGATCTTCGCTTTGCCTCAATTCTTGATTTGAACACACATCACAGAAGTAGAAGAAGAGAATTGAAGGGAGTGTGAGTGAGAGTGATTGAGTTTCAAAATTGGGGCACCTTTCTCTTTCCTCTTTCTCGGGAAACACAGAGCCAATCCGAATAAATGCCTATGAGTTTGTTTTCACATCGCATGCCCATGGATTTCGTACTTATATCATACTATCACCATACACATATACCATGTCATTAATGTCACTTTTACTTATTTCAGATCATGTCATGTGTATGTGTATGTTATGGGATGGTGGGATGGTTCCTCTCTCTCTGACCTTTTCCTTTTCCATAATAATATAATGTCTTGTTTTTTCTCTTTCAGACAACAATTCAAAATCAGACTTCACCTTGCTTTTCACTTAAAATTTGGGTTAAATTGTTAAAGTATACTGAAATTACCTCAAATACTATTTCCTCTCTTAGTCACGCAATAATAAAAGAGTACACACGAAATAAAATTGTATATTCATCATATTACTTTTTGAATTATATTAGTTCATATTTATAATTCTTATTTTTTAATTAACTCTTATATTTTAATAATTAATTTATTATTTTTCTTTAATTAATAATCATCGATAACAACTTTCTTAGGCATGAAAAATGATATTGTCTATAATGTCTATTAAGTCTGTTGTCAATCAAAGATAGAACACTTGTTCTTCATATCATATCATGAGTTACATGTAGCATCTTCAAGGTTAGTATGCTCTCATTGGATCAAAACTTCAGTGACAACCTTATTGTGTCTTTTCTTTATTCTTTGCACAAGAATAATCAGAGGCTGCATAGAAATTTCTCCATCATCTGTAAATAATGGTAGTTATTGGTATACTGGATGTTCATCATGGTGCTTCTTAAGTAATGAAATGTGGAAAACATCATGTATTTTGGTACCAGCAGGTAATTCCAGTCAATATGTCACTTTGTCAATCCTTTCCAATACCTTGAATGGACCATAATATTTCGCAACTAACTTGTGAAATGCTGAATTTGCTAAAGAATGTTGTTTATATGGTTGAATCTTTAAGTAAACAAGGTTTCCTTCAGCAAATTCCTTGTCTACTCTTTTCAAATCTGCATACCATTTCATTTGTTCTTGTGCTTTGGTGAGGTTGGAACGAAGTAACCTTGATATTTGTTCTCCCGTTTTTAAAGTGTAGTCTACTGCTTCCACTACAAAGTCCTCCAGCTGAATTGGACATGGAATGGAAGGCTTGTAACCATATAAAGTTTCGAAAGGGGTCATTTGGATTGTTGCATGAAACTTTGTATTGTACCATAATTCAGCTAATGATAAGTATGTTGACCATTTCTTTAGAGTCTCACCTGTGATGCATCGCAAATATCCTTCTAGTGCCTTATTCAGAGTCTCTGATTAGCCATCTGTCTGTGGATGAAATGCAATAGATTGAAGCAACTTGACACCATGAGCTTTTAATAATTCTGTCCAGAAGTTGCTTAATTATTTCACTTGGCCAACCATGTAATTTGACAATTGTATCCATGAACAGTTATGCAACCTTTGCAGCCCCAAATGGATGCTTTAATGGAATAAAATGTGCATGTTGTGTGTATCTATCAACCATTACTAGTATGACGAACATAATAGATTTTGGAAGACCCACAATAAAATCCATAGATACAGAGTATTATGCTTTGTCAGGTATTGGTAAAGGTTGCAACAATCCTGATGGAAGTTGGGAAAAACTCTTAAATTTCTGACATACTTGACATTCCCTAACCCAAGTCTTGACATCCTTTTGCAAACCCTTCCAATAAAACTGTTCTTTTATTCTTTTTGGTCACTATTTGAGTGTCCTCCAATAGGAGAATTATGAAAATAGCTAACAATTTGGCTTCGTATATTCTGATTCATTCTCACTACCAGATTACCTTTTTGTTTCAGCAAACCATTATCATAACGAAATTGCTTATACTATAGCTGTGTAAATTGAATCTTGTCTATAATCTTCTTCAATTTTTGATCACCTTCCCAAGTAGTTTTTACGTCGTTTACTAAATCACTTACTAACTGAAAAACAATTGTTAATTGTTCTGTAGTTTTTTTCCTCGACAACACATTTGCCACAACATTGTCTCTACCTTTCTTGTACTCAATGCTAAAATCAAGGCCCATAAGTTTTTCTAAACTCCAATTCTGCATTAATGTTGTAGGAGGTTGTTCTAATAAATGCTTTAAGGCTTTTTGATCTGTTTTGATAATGAAGTTGTTTCCTAGGAAATAATGAAGCCACTTTTTTACAGCAAAAAGGATGGCATAAAACTCCTTTTCATATGCGGATAATAGTTGAAACTTCTTTCCCATAACCTTGCTAATATATGTTATTGGATGACCCTGCTGAAGTAGAACTGCCCCAATTCCATATGTTGAAGCATCTGTTTCTATTGTAAAAGGTTTGTGGAAATCTGGGAGAGCCAAAACAAGTGCAGAAACTAAAGATTGTTTGATGGCCAAGAATGTTTCCTCAACTTATTGTGTCCAGTCGAAGTTAGTATCCTTCTTCAGTAATGAAATTAATGGATATGCTATTCTTCCATAATTTTTAATAAACCTCCTGTAGTAACTTAACAATCCTAAGAAACCTCGCAATTCTTTCCCTGATTTTGGTGTTGGTCATTCTTGTACAGCTACTATTTTATCATTAGTAGGGGCAATTTCGTCAGTTGTGATAATGTGGTCCAAATACTTAACCCTCTTATTTCCAAAGCTGCATTTCTTGTGATTTAATGCTAGTGAATTTGTTTTCAATATCTTCAAGGCCTTCTCTAAACACAAGAGGTGTTCATCTCAATTTTTTGTGTAAACCAAAATGTCATAAAAAAAGACAAGTATGAACTTCTGCAAATGTTCACAAAAAATATCATTCATCAAGTTCTGAAATGTTGCAGGGGCATTGCTTAGGCCAAATGGAAGAACCACCCATTCATAATGTCCGCTATGAGTTCTAAATGTTGTCTTGTAGATGTCAGATTCTGTCATTCATAACCACTCTTTAAATCTAATTTCGTGAAATATGTGGCTTCCTTTAGCTCATCCAAAAGATCTTCAATGAGTGGAATAAGAAATTTGTTTTTCACAGTCATAACATTCAATCAGCGAAAATCAGTACAAGACCTCCATGTGGCATCTTCTTTTGACAAGAACGAGAGGTGAAGCATATGAGCTGCTACTTTCTCGTATAAAGCCAGTAGATAACATGTATTTAATTTGTCGTTCAATTTCTTCTTTATGAGTATGAGGATACCTACAAGGTTTTAGGAAAATAGGATTATCATTAATGAGGTTGATTTTGTGATCATACCTTCTTTTTGGAGGTAATTGAGTGGGCTCCACAAAGAGTTCGGTATATTTCTGCAAAAGTTTATCCAACTCCAGAGTCTGACTTGAATTCAATTCAGTTTCATCATTTACAACTGATATATCAAAGCTAATTGGGCCATGAATTGGAAGCAAAATTGCTTGCACTAGTGCAGAATATGGCTTTTACGTCACCCAATTGTCGTCGCATGCACGTATATTCGACGTAAATAAAACGCGGTGGCAATTTTGTAAATATGGGACAAAAAATTTACGTCGCACACCCCAATAGGAGACGTAAAAAGTCATCTTTTACGTCGCACCTGGGAGGCGCGACGTAAAAGATGGCCTTTTACGTCGCGTACAGGGGACGCGACGTAAAAAGCCTTAGCTTTTACGTCGCGCCCCCGTACGCGACGTAAAAGGCCATCTTTTACGTCGCGCCTCCCAGGTGTGACGTAAAGATGACTTTTACGTCGCTTACTACACTGCGCGACGTAAAAAGTCTATTTTATTTCCTCCCAGCCCACTTCCTCGTCTCGCGCAACCGGGGTTTTTGAGAACGACGACGAGAACAACGACAACGACTACCTCTGCACACCATTTGCGAGCGGTTTACAAGTGAAAAACATCTACATTGTCGTGTCATTTGACGAACTTCATCTTTCTCCCCGATTGGATTCGAGTTTGAAATCGCTTTCGTCTACACTCGAGGTTAGTGTTCATTGTCATTGCTATATGTTTACATTGAATCCGTGATTGTTTTTGGGGATCTCAATCACGTTATAGTATGAATGTCTCCACTGGATTGTTATTGGAATGCAGTTATTTGTTTATTTGTTTGAGTGCATTCGGTTTACACACTCCATTGTTGTTGGAACGTGCTTTGTTGTTTGTATATTAATTTTTTTTTACATATAATTTTTAAATCTTTAGGAGTGACGAAACTTTATAACATAATATGAATCGAAGTTGGATGAATGCACGTCGTATTAGTGAAGAGTACGAAAAGGGAGTTGAGGAATTTCTGAAATTTGCTAGTGAAAATGGAAAAGCTATGAAAGGGACATATTATTGTCCATGTGTTCGTTGTTTGAATCAAATTCGTCATAAACTTGAGGATATACGTGATCACTTGTTTGTTTATGGTATTATTAAGAGTTATACAATATGGACATGGCATGGAGAAATATTAGACATCCCAACTGTGTCAACTACGGACAATTTTGATGAAGGGATGGATGATAATCTAGAGGATATGATACGTGATATTGGTGAAGAACATTTTATGAAAGCACATCTATATGATTCTTTGAAATCTGATTTTGCGCAACAATTGTACATAGGATGTAGTTTTACAAGATTATCAGCAACTTTAAAATTGTTTACTTTAAAAGCAAGAAATGGATGGACTGATAAAAGTTTCACCGAATTATTGGAGTTGTTGAAGGAGATGCTTCCTGAAGATAATACATTACCTATTCGTAACTATGAGGCAAAGAAGATATTATGTCCAATGGGTTTAGAGTACAAGAAAATACATGCATGTCCTAATGATTGTATATTGTACAGAAATGATTTTGCTAAATTAAAGATGTGTCCGACATGTGGTTTGTCGAGGTTCAAAACCAAAGTTGAGGAAAGTAGTGGTGAGGAAGAACTACAATTGTGGGCAATGTAAGTCATTTTCATTTATGTTTCTAAGATTATAATAATTATATTCAACTTATAATTAATTGTTTTAGGTACCTTGACAATTTGAGTGTGGAACAAGAAAAATCCGAAGTATACGGATTTATTGAGCCTCAATCCATCCAAAAATCTGAAATACAAAGGTTGGAATCCAACAATATATGCAAACATGGATGAGTGACTCAAGAAGACATATATATTTGGCTCCATACATTGAAGGGTTAGTATTTTGATTTGTATTTTAATTTATATTTTTGTAACTAATTTTTATGTCATACAATGTAGGTCCCATTGGCAGTTAATTGTAATCATACCCGGGATTACACTCGTGGTATGGTTTTGTTCATTACATCGGAAACCGAGTCAAGAAATGAAAAGCTTATTACAAGGGTAACTTTATCTTTTATTCATTAATTATGTTTTTAAATTGTGAATACATATTGAATAATATATGACTTTTTTTCACTTAGAATCGAGTCTCGGAACTAATGTTCTAAGTGGAAAACCTAGAACAAAGACATTGCAGTTCATTTATCCTAAGGTTAGAAACTTATTTATATAAGTGAATACCATAATTATTGTTTATATTTCAATTTTGAAAATAATATTATGTTTTTTTCATCATTTCAGTGTAATAAGCAAACTGACTCGTTTGAATGTGGTTACTATGTAATGTATTGGATGAGAGCCATAGTTTGTGCGGGTTTAATTGATTCTTGGACTGGAGGTAATTACTTTTAACATTAGTTAAGTTTATTTAACTTTATTCATGTTGCATGCTTACAAGAGTCAAATTCATGTTTCAGGTATTTCAAGATCCATCTCCATTACCAGAATCCGAGATTACGGAAATTAGAGAACAATGGGCAAAATTTTTTGTTCTACAATTCTAGTACATTATTTTTTATGTTCTTGTTCATATTATATTGTGTGTATTATGTAGTTTAGTTTAGTTTGTATAGGTAGCTTAGTTTGTATAGGTAGCTTAGTTTGTAATAGATTTTTTAGTTTGTATGTTTGTATTATTTTGTTTTATTATGTAGTTTGAATTATATAATATTATATTTTTAATTTACTAGCAAAAGAAAACTGCTCTGGACTGTCTGGTTGTAATTTTTGCAGGTTTTAGTTGTAAAACGAGTAAATAAACCCAATTTAAAAAAAACAGGTAAATTTACGTCGCATATTGGTATATACGACGTAAATTTACGTCGCATATACCAATATGCGACGTAAATTACGTCGCATATACCATATGCGACGTAAATTTATCGCCGCATATTGGTATATGCGACGTAAATTTACGTCGTATATACCAATATGCGACGTAAATTTACGTCGTATATACTCGTATGCGACGTAAATTTTCTGCTTTTTTTTAAATTGAAAAGGTTTTACGTCTGTTTATTGTATATGCCACGCAAAATTACGTCGTATCTTCATAATCGACGTAAATCTACGTCGGTAAAGGGTCCGACGTAAATTTACGTCTCCCGCTTTTACGTCGGACTTAAATACGACGTAAAAAGCCCTAAATACCTGACGTAAAAGCCCCTTTTTGCACTAGTGTTGCAAACTAATCGCTTTAAGTTTTCTAACTTTGTCCACGAATAAGTTGTCTTGTTTTTCTCCTATCAACGTTACAGTGTTGCCGTTATGAACAAATCTCATTGTTAAGTTAGTGTAATTCCAAAATATCTCACCTAAGGTTTTAAATTATTGCATTCTTAAGATAACACCAAAAGTTGAACCAGGGAGTACTAAAATATGAGCAAGAAAAGAGTGGTCACCAAATTTCCATTCTAACTTCTCACATTTTCGGGTTATCATAATTGGTTTATCACTGACAACCATTACAGGAAAATCTTCTATAGGTTGTATTTTCAGCCCAAGCAACTTAATCCATTTTGAACTTATGAAATTGTGGGTATTGTCTGTGTCCATAAGAAAATGCACATCTTTTCTTTTTATAATCCCTTGTAATTGTAAAGTGTTACCTCTAGCTATACCTCGCAATGCATGCAAAGAAATTTGTACCAGATCATCATTTAATAATTCTAAACTTTTTTTCAGTAGAGACTCATTTGCATCATTGTCACTATCTTCAATTTCCTATGTATCTAAATTTTCTTGTGCACTAAAGATGGTATTTAGCTTTCCCTAAACCTTACATTTTAATCTATGATTCTTCTCCCATTTATCACCACAAAATCTATATAATCCTTTTGAAATACACGCTTACTGATTTCTTTCCTAGAATGTAGTAAATTGGTACTAGTCTGTGAAGCAATAATTGACATGTTGACAGACGAATTTTGTGGTTGAGTTTGTAAGCTAGTAATTGAGTGGTTTCTGAAATTGGAGGGTGGATGTGGTCCAGAATGTGTGAATCTAGTTGGATAATCAAAAGTATTTGGTTTACCTATTAATATCTTCTTCTCTAATTCTTTAATGACGTCATCTTGTAATTTTGCTAATCAAACAACTTCTTGCACTGATTTGGGGTTGTGAATTCGCACAGATTTCTCCAACTAAACTTCCAATCCCGCAAGAAAAAATCTAATGGCCATGTCATTGGATAATGCAACTCGAGCAAGCAGGTTATCAAATTTTTCTAAGTATTCATATAACGATCCAACAAGATAATTCTGCAATTGGGCCATCATAAGCACCATCATCGAAACAGTTACATACATCTTGAAGAATAGTTTTCCAAGATTTGTTATGGAATTCTTAGTTTTGCATGTAATGTCTCACAAATGCTTTGTCATCCATCGATATTAAAAGTAATTTGTCTCGTTGATTAATGGGTGTGCGTTCTAATTCAAAGAATTGTTCAACTTTCGCTCTCTATTCCCTGAAGTTGGTGTCATCAAATGAAGGGAACGCAATTTGAGTTCGTTCAAGATTCTTGCATGAGTTAAGATATGACTCGACTTCTTCTTCATGTTGTGTATTGTATTTGAATTGTTCGTCGTTGATGTTTAATTTGGCCAAGACCTGTGTCATCATCATCTTTATCGAGTCAATATCGACTTTGTGACTTGTCTGCGATTCCTCAAATGTTTTCTTATTATTACGGTGATTCCTCGAATTTTCTTCTTGTGAGGATGTTATTAATCTCTCTAGTTCATCAATTCTGTTTTCAAGATCTTTATTCGTTATTGAACCTCCCATCGTTGTCGGTAATATTGATACCAATTGTGAAAAGTATATTGAAATTATCCTCTAACACTACTCACTCTATCAATCTCACCCAAAAATAAAAGAGGACACACAATAGTAAAATTGTATATTCACGATAATACCTTTCGGATTAAGTTATGTCTTATTTATAACTCTTATTTTTTATCTAACTCTTATATTCTAATAATTAATTTATTATTTCTCTTTTATTAATAACCACCAATAATGTATTTTGATTTATTTTTAATTTGTAATATATACTTTATTCATTCTTGTTTTAACTATAGACCCTTTATATAAAAGAAATCATAATTTTAATCAAATTTTTAATTTTACATTTTGACATTATATTACCCAACATAAATCGCTTCTTCTATCTAATCTTATCGGGGTCCACCGCGATCGGTCTCCGTTCTCGATACCGGCAGATAAGCGAAGAGTATTGCAATAACAATTCGATGCTCAAGTCCGTGATAACATGATATGTTAACAGGTTTTTGCACTAGTTATCTTACCTTTCATATAAATGCTAAAAAGTATTTTATATTAACATGATGGAGTGGTATGACCTAGGACTTCCCGGGGATGGAACTATATTAAGTCTTCTGGTAAAATATAATACATATGCCCCTGAAGCTCAAGTCATCCATCATGAAGTGTTATGACATGCTCCGTGAGTATTTAGATTCTATATGGTGACAAGACTTGTTTGCCTATCGATTGCTCATGTCGCCACCGCGAGATTGTCTACCGTCCGGATAATTTCGAGCTTTGTGTGTGAAATGTCGTGGGAAAGAAATGGTGGAAATTTCAAAATGATTTCTCTCATTTAGACGTTCCTGCTCTTACAAGTCGTCGATTCATAGAAAATTCAAGATTGGGAGAGGGCATCATTTTACGTGTTTGTCACTAAGGGCATTTCTTACATTCTTTGCCCTTATTATATACTGCTCCGAAAAGTGCTCTGCCATGACTTACTTCTTTCTCTTTTTTTTTTCATTGTCTTATATTTTAATAGTATTAGATATAGAATTTGATTGGAAAAATAAACTGAATAGTATATATTGAAATATATATGAAAAATAAATTACCCACTTACTTTTTAAACATTGTTCTTAGACATATCTTATTTAATTTTTAAAGGTAGAGTAGATATATATTTTGAGTTGTGATTGTCGAACAGGCCATATACTATACTCCTAAGTAGCCTGCAGTTTCAGCTACGATACTGATATATTTTATAATATTATTGAATGTAGTTCAGGCAAATTAAAAAAGTGGGGTTATAATAAAAATAGCTGGTCATAAAAAAATAGGTTGTTTTATTGGATCTTTAACTTTTCAATGGGAATAAAAACTGTCCTTGACTTGACCTTGTTGGGATAATGTTTTATTTATAATTTATCTTTTATTTACCAAACAAAATTGCTAGATGTTATCTATGATATAGTTGAAACGTGGGGTTAATTTACAAGATGTTTTAAGGATACTTCATTACTCCTAACCATGACAAGATTCGAGATCAGAGAATTCCCCCCTTAAGTTAAGAACTGGTTATACTGGATGAATAGATAATCCGGTAAAAACTAGTTGAAAGGTTATTGTCTACTTTATCCAAATACTTTCCCTTGTCATAAAGAAATGAGCACATTTTCATTTTTTTCTCTACATTTTGTTTAATTGATTTTGGGGGAATAAGTGGAGACGGATAAAAAGCTGTTTTCAAGCACAAACCAACAGTTCCAGTTCAACAACAGAAGCAAACAGAAGCAGAAGCAACTTAGAAATACAGGGCAAAAGCAGTAGCAAAGGTCTGAACGCTAACGCAGTCTGTTCCAAAAGGCAACATATCTGTAGCACATGAAACTCGGAAAGTAAAGTGACTAAGCCAAGGATGATTTGCCAGACCAGTGAACTTGAATTTGTTTATCAGTTCCACCTCTCACCGGCCAACAGAAGCACATTGCCGAGCTCCACCACCAAACGTGAGTCCCCCGCTGCATTGTGATGATCCCCCCATGTTTGGGGAGTTCCCCATGAAGTTGTGTTCGGGCTGCCTGAAATTGAGACTGCTACTGGACATGCCTGTTAAGCCAGAGATGGCTGTAAATGTGATGGATGCATTCTCTCCCGTCCTTGAGGGATGACTTTCCACCTCTGATGCATCCTTCTTTTGATAAACTTTCATAGGGTCCGGACCTGAATGGGTACTATTAACATGTTCTGCATTAGACTCTTGCAGCTGTTTGGCACTGAGAAAGCGTCCACCAGACCCCCTAACCCTCTTCAATGCGTGACGGTGCCGTGACTCATGAAGATATGGCTGCAATCCATTGGCAAAGGAGGGAAATCAGATGAGTAACTCTATTTCTTTTAGTCCAAAAAGATATTCAAGAAAGTAAGTTGTACAGCATTATGACTTGACATTCTCCATAAAAACATAATAACACTTTACAGAATAACACAACATGCAACTCTACTGTATCGCGTTTCGTTTCTAACTTCCATATACAGATTGATTTTACATGTACTTCATCTGTATAGCCATTCTAAAACGAAAAAAAAAAATACTCTATAGTGCCTCCATAGTATATCTATTGAGAGCATTTTTCTCACTCATAGCCAAGGTCAAATAAGGTAAATATATAGAGAATGAAAACCTTTATTATTATTATTATTATTATTATTATTATTATTATTATTATTATTTCTACTACCATGACATAAGCAGGTAAACAAGCCCATGTCCAAATTATTTTCAAAGACAAACCCAAAAACCACAAATTACATATGGATATACATGAATAGAGTAAAGTGTTTGGATAGACAGGGTAAATCAAAACAATGTATAACTGCTTAGGAAGCATACCCTCCGACTTTTGATGAGTTTGTTTTGAGCCTCTAGCTTTGCTCGTGACTGTCGCCTTCTCAGTATACCATGATATTGTTTTGCATTGACATAAATGGGCCCATCTTCTGCAAGCTCCACTGGTAATGCAATTCTGGTGGATGCTAATCCCAGCATCTGGGGTATCATTTGGGGTTGATTCTAATAAACATAAAAGACAGTGACATCATATTAAATTATTATGCTGTGAAATGGAAGTGTACTAAAATCTCATGTAAGTATGAAGCCCATGCGTTATAAAATGTACTTTGAGAAAACTTACAATAGCCTGTGGTCCATAAGCAACTAATGAACTGGAAAAATAAGGATCACCACAAGGATAAGGAGTATGGGCCTAAAAATGGGAGAACGATAACTAGTTAATAGCCGAAACTTCAAGAAGCAAATCCATAAACAGCAGCTTCACATACCATTGAATGACTGCAATCAACTTGAGAAGAATTGTACATAGTATCAGGATGATTAAGCAAGAAGAATGGCTTCATTTAATTTTCCACATGGCAAACTCCCAGATCTTGACCTGACAAAGGATTGGTTTTAAGTTTACGTGGTTTATATGTAAAGAAAGGATATCCAATTCCCATCAAAGAATGTGAAAAAATAATGCATGATACACATTAGAGGAATAATAGCATGGGAAATAACATATTCACACCTAAGAACAGCAAGATAACAACACAATTTATTTCAAAACGTGTGGGTAGAGGGGAAATATATAGCATGGATCGAAGATAGTCACAAATACAAAAAGAATATATTTTAATCTCAAATCAGCAAGTTACCTGAAAAAGCAACAGAAGAAGAAGAGTAACTTAACATATGTCTATGTTTTATGAATCCCAATAATCATAGAGTAGAAATGAACCTTATAGTACATGCCATAGAACTTGATGTTTCTATTTCCAATTATCAGATAGAACTTCCACTCATTTAATGGAAAACTCGTTATTTAAACAAAGTAAAGACCTACCATTGTAAAATTTTAGAAGATATTTATTTGCCCAAGAAATTTCTAGAACTTATCATGTTAACGATCTCACGTACACATTTTCTACATTTGAAAAATAATTTTCAGAAGGATTGATTGATTCCCAGGACAAGTAGAAGTTGGGATTCCCATCTCTACCATTTCAAGACAATTCTACAAATCCCCAAGTCTTTAACAATATCAATTCAAGCAACACTGTCTTACCATCATTGCCATAACAAACACCTGTAAGCACCGACTCCCTAATAAACTATTACATTACATCATTGACATAACTACATTATTCCTTCATTTACTTAAATTACATTTATTAATAATCTTGTTACAGCTATCGTAACTGTATATCAGACTATTCAAAAATGGATAACTCTAAACAAAAAGTATTCTAGCATGAAACATAGCTTACCATTTCTCCAGTATAATGTATATATTATTGCAGCCTTAGTTCTCAAAACCTTCAATCAAATCCTACAAAATGAGTATATCTTATTTAGAAAACAATTAAGAAGTCTCAAAGGACATTCTTCTTTAAAGAGGCATATAGAATATATAAGGGCAGCCACATCATGATTCAAATATACAAGTATTAAGTGGTATGGCATAAACAATTTTCAAAACTGTCAATCTCCACCACTTAGTCAGAATCTTAGAAAAAGATGAAATACATTACAGCAGATAGAGATCGACAATGTACATTATATGAAATATATCCTTATGAAACTTAATAGAGTAAGGGTGTTCCCAGCCAGAGTCAGCTAACTTGTAAACCCAAACCAACCCGGTCCAAACAAAAATGGTTTGGATATAAGAGTTGTTAGGGGTCAAATCCAACCCGATCCATTCAAACTCAGTGCCTTTTTAGTTTACGTAACAGGTTTATTTTTAAACCGTCAACCCAATGACCAAACTAGTTTATGTCCTTTTTTAATTATTAAATATTATATATATATATATATATATATATATATATATATATATATATATATATATATATATATATATATATATATATAAATTTCATTTGACTTATATTCTTATATTTTTAAAATCCAAAACAATATTAAAATTTTATATTTTTTGTTACTAATAATTTTCTTAATAGTTTTTTATCTGATAGAAACGATTCAACATAACCCATCACTCACAGAGTTGGTTCCATTGGGGTTTGACAGAAAATAAAATGCACAAACCCGACCTACCCCAAACCGTAGCATTTTGCTAAGTTTGGATACCGAATTTAGCCAAAATGAACCCAACCCTACCAACCAGTGTACATCCTACAGAAAAGAGAGAGGCAAATAATATATATACACTTCAGGCAAGGACCATTCTTGTAATGGAATACCACCTCAGAACCGAAATCACGCAAATGCATTCATAAAAAATAGACTATTTTGCAATCACGGTAGCACCTCAAAGCTAAAACAATCCGAAACAAACAAACCCGAAAAGCAGCATATATAACCAGACAGTCCAAAATCGTTGGATCACATTACAATCCAGACAACACAGATACCAACACAAAAATAAAAACATCACAGCTCATCAATTTTGAGTCAGTTGAAAGACTCTTTCAGTAAAGACAATGCCATAAAAGGAGAAGTAAGCACAGCAAGAACTGCAGCGCAGATCTAGCTCACAAAAATTAGTGAGCACCAAAAGCTGACCTCAAACTCCACATGCAAAAGAAAAACAGTAAATTTGAAACTCCCACAAAAAAAAATTCCTAAACATAAGGTTAGAATGAAGGAAGCAATAGAAAAGGAGGGTGGTGGAGACAGGATAAGGCAGAATAAATAAGAGAAAGAAACAGTTATAGAAAGAGAGAGAGAAACCTTTGGGATCTGGTAAGTTGAAGCAAAGAGAAATAGAATTGTCGGTTGAAATCGGGCATGTCTCCTCTCTGGAAACCCTTCCACAGTTGAGGGTCTTCTTCCTCTCTCTTTCTCTCTCACTCTATTGTACTCTCTCAAATTCTCTCTTCTTTCTTGGTTTTGTTGTTTGTTGAAGAAGAATACATAACACAGACTCCATAAATACTCACTCTCTTATGTTTTCTTCCAATTACAGTCCTTCTCTCAGTGGGCCCACCTACACCCTTCCTCAACCCTTGGGCCTTGGGCCTCCTTCTTCAGCACTCACCTCTCAGCCGCCCTTCACTGTTCCCTTAACCTTTTCTCACGCGCACATGTTTCACCTCCTCCTTCACGCGCTCCACGTACCCTACTCCAACGAACAACTAAGTCCACGCTCTACTCGGCGCGTTGTTCCAGGACAGAACCTCTAAAAAGTATATCCCAAGTTTCTTACTCATCCTTAATAGTCTAATTTAACCGGTCCATTTAACAATCGTTCATTACAAGAAATAATATAAAACATTTAATTTTATTACTGTTGCATTTATTATTAAGAATTAAATTTTAGGTTAGTAAATTTTAACATTCATTGTGAATTATTATATGTTATGGAAAATTAAAAACTTGATGGTTAAATATAAAAAAAATAGATGGTAAAATTCATTAAATAATTATAGTTTATTAGTAAATGTATGATTAAGCTTAAACTTAACACAAAAAGCAATTAGATTAAGTTTTAAAAAATGGTAATAACTTATTTATCATTCACTTAGAAAATGAATTCGGTCGTTTACACATGTTATTTGTATTAAATTGAATTTTTAAATTTTGAAATATATTGATATTTTGCATATAATATCCGTAAAAGACTAATTTGCTCCCCTTTATTCCGCTAAACAGAACTTTTCGTGTTTATTGAATTTTTTATATTTGGTTAACGATCAAAGGGGTCATTATTGGATGCCACACTGTAATTTATTATTATTATTATTTATTGAAACTTGAAAGACATAGTAAAATTTATGAGTATATTTGGGTACGGTGGATTAAGCTTATCTTAAAAAGGATAAAGAAATGTTAAATTAATCGGACAAAGTCTATCCTCATAAGATTATATCGATAATTATGATTTTAATAAGAAAACATTAACGTTGGGTAACGCCACTTTTTCCACGTTCTCACTTCTCATTGACTCTTTTTAAAAAAAAAAAAAAAAATGGATTGGTTGTGGATAAGGTTCATTATCCGAAAGAGAATCAATACTAAAGTTTATATTTTGAAAAGAAAGAAAGAGTAAGTGCTGAAATGTCGGTAGAAGGGACTTAAATAATTTAGACGAACAAAGAACAACCTACGAGCAAAATATCATGTAAGGTTGCGAATCATTTTCGTGTTTATTTTGTTTCTTAAATGAGAAAAAAAAAAGTTATTGAAAAAGTGAAAGTTAACTTTTTTATATATAATGAAGGATAAATACAAGAGGATCCGAGGATATAAACCACATGTATAAAGAAAGAGTGATGTAATAAAAAAAAAGTAAAACATGGGGATAAGTGATGTGATCCTTTTCCTTAGTTGATCTGGCAGAGGAAGATGATTCTTGGTTAGCCATAACTTGGAAAAAGATTGATATTGTTGTGATGGGTAGGCCAGCCAATGAAAGAAGAGAAAGAAATTTTAGAAAAAAATATTGTTTTATTATTATTATTATTATTTTGTTGTTAGAATGTGATTTGATATACTTTCTTAATTTATGAGTTATAAGGTTTTATCTTTTGATTTTCAGAACATTATCTACTAAAATAATTATGTAGTTAGATTAATCTGTCTTGGAAAAAGAAGCTTACCGTTTTGAAGAACAGGTTTAATAGATAAAATTTCGTTATAAAAAATTAAGTCAAAGTAAAATGAATTAGGGATAGCAATATTTTTATGGAACAATAAAAGAGTATAAAATAGACTAATATTTTGTAAAAAAGAAAAAGAAAAAACACTTGATGTAAGGAAGAAACAGTGAATAAGGAATAGATTTAATGACTGTTGACATAAGTTTACAAATAAAAAGTGGTAAAAACATGTGTCCTAGAGGAGATCAAGCATTACAGTGATTGCACGTATTTATTACTGCGTGATTTAAATGGAGAAAGTTCATTATTTATATACAATATAAATGGTCTTCAGTTCAGATATTAATTTTTCATGTTCTTAATCAGTAATAAATAACGATAAAAAAAGTTGTCATGCACAAGAATGGATATATGAAAAATAATAGTTTGCCAACAAAAATAAGTATATTTATTTTGTTGCTAATAGAGACGTTAAATAGTTGCAATAGATAATGTCAAACAAATCTTACTCGTACTAAGAATAACAAGTATAGTTATCAGAATCAATTTCACACCATAAAGATTTTGCTGATGATATCAAGATGTGAATTTAATTGATGGTTCTTAAAACACTTATATATTATTAGTCTAGATAGCCAAATACACATTATCAATTATTGTAAAACTGCACAATTACATAGTTTTGGTATTAAAAAAAAAAAAAAAAAAAAGAGCTTTATAGATGGAAGCATTACGCAAACTCAAATTTTCGGTTTGCACCATGGTGACCAAAATGCACCTTATTTTTGTCTTCCCCTCACTGTGTGCATCACATGCTAACAATATAACATGTATTATCAACAATTTAAAAGTTTAAAAATTTATGACATATAGATTCAAAATTTAATGATTGAATAGGAGTTAAAAACGAATGTAATAAGATAATATTTTGTAATATAATAAAATTATTGATAATAATATTTTTTATATAAAAAATAATAATATAAATTATAGTCATATTTATCATCAATTATAATAAAAAATATATTTAATATATTAACAAATAAAAATTAAATAATTATTGAAATAAAATAATAATATAATAAAATAATTAATATTTTAAATTAAAATAACTTATATAAAATAAATAAAAAATTTAAATATATTATATCTTTTATGAAAAAATATTATATTAAAAAATTTTAATCTTAATTTTTTTATCAAAATTTAACGGATTTTTCCAGTTTTCTAGTCGAAAACCCAACTGGTTTTTATCCAAGTTTAATTAAAGTTATTTAGAAACAAGATTTTCAGTTCGATCCGGTCCAATTTTTAACACCCTGTTTATGACGAAGAAATGACTCTGTGAAAAGCCTTGCCACAAATGTTAATCTAGGGCGGAGTCACAGATTTACACCAAATCTATGGTTTCAAATAAAAACCATGCAATTATATAATGAAAATTGGAATGTTCAACTTGACCTAACAAATAATATTCCCAACTAAAATCAGGGTTCACTCTATTATTACGCCACTATTATTCAGTACACCTTGGACTCATAATCTTTTGAATCTTTTACCAACCAGACAAAATACCCCGAACAACGTATTAAAAATTAGTAAAGTGAAAGCAGAATAACACTACTACACATGGCAATAATCGAATCAACGAATATAATAAAGAAAATTATCGTCAAGCATGAATGAGTACCTAAACTATGAGGTTGGTAAAATTTATTTTTTGGACAGGGGGATTGTGAACAGATTCAATACTTTCTCAATCGGACAAAATTCTCTAGATAAAATCACTGTTACCGTTACTGCCACTGGTCTATCAACTCCAGCTCAAACCATTAATCAGCTCAAGATAGGATTCCATCGAATACCCAAGTAATGTGAGGATAAATCTGGTCAGCAACAGAAATAATTTATTAGACAACTATAGAACAACAGAAATAGTTTAACCCGTGGGGAAAGCTCTCCTAATACTACTTGTTTTTGTTTAGATAGATTTCTGCTCAAGTACTAATAACAGAAGAAAACAAGACAAAATAAATAGAACATCTCCCATCAACTAAAATCACGTTAAATATACCAATTTTGAGAAAATAATAAGAAAACTTGTATGAAAGTTAAGTGCACAAGTAGACTTTAATATGTGAGTAATTTTACCTTATTTTGTCATCCTGTTAGTGTTCATATCAAGATTTATTCAAACAGACCCTTAGATCAATAGATTTTGGTAGTTAAAGCTAATATATTAAACCCATTTTTATGTGATTCTAAAGCCAAAGATTTTATATCTATAAACTGGTTAAGTTCCATTACTGTATAAAGAACATAAAATGTTGAGAGCAACGTTTTAAAAACTGGACAAAACTAATCAGTCAAACTGGCAGACCATGAACAGGGAATGTTTCCAGTTCAACCATTCACATACAAATTCAACCATTTGAACCAAAACCAGTTCAATCTCCGGTACATTTTATAAGCATTGACCCAAAGCATTGTTTGGATTAGTAATCTAACCACATGAGAATGATGAGATGGAATACAAACATCCTGAGTGATTATCAAAAGCATCAAAATATTTACCTTGATTCTAGCATCACGTAATCTTCCACTTAAGAATAGGAAAACGAAATTGGACAAGTTACACTATACTTGGGCCAAGGGCAAGGAGTGAACTTACCAGTTAACACATAAATCTATAGCACCAAATTGATATTTTCAGACCATTTGAATATGTCAGAGTGCACTCTATCCCCACCTAAGTCCTCCCCAGAGGCTCCAGCTGCTACTCGTATAATATCTTCAAGCAATGCAAAGTTACCCAATATATCAACATGTGCGCCACTCTGGGTTCCCCTACCTTCTAGAAGATTAGCGGGAGGGGCATGATCATACTCCCTTATGAATGTACGAATTCCGGAAGGATTAAAGCGGGTTCTTCCCCGCCAACCCTTTGCACACATGAAACCAGCACTTAAAACAGGAACAGTTTCATCACCATCAGAACTGTAAACTCCATCCCTTAGACATGAGTACTCATTTCCACCATTTGCTGAGGTGTCAATCTGAAATGGAATGTGGCATTCAGATTGGGGAGTTAACTTGTAGACATAGGCTCTTTCTGTAGGGATTCCAACCCCATACATAGAGTAAATCTCCATATCTGGAGCATTTGGTAATCTGTAGCAGCAGGAAAGAATATTAAAAATAACTCAAATCACAGCAGGAATAGTTAAAAAAAAAAATTATTAGTTCCACCAATCCAGGTAGTAAAACAATTCTACAGTTGCAAAGTGCAATGCAATACCAGAACTCTTTAACACAAATCACAGGCAGCAATAAAAGAAACATCATATTTTCAAACATAGCATGATTTGAAATTATTGATAATAGTTAAAGCATCAATCAATTAGTTCCACTAATCCAGGTAACATAATAATTACACAACAGCGAAGTGCTATGCAATAGTAGAACTCTTTATCCCCCAGGGACCCAATTGAACTAGATTGCTGTATTTGTTCTGCATAAAATTAAAAATGGTAGAAAGGCTTTTGATAAAGGAAATATAAATAGCACTCAATTGAACATCGTCTTTCATAAGGAGATAATCACAAAAACAGAATCAAAGTAAGGAACCTCACGTTGTTTCCAAGGGGTTAGACCAGTATTTGTAATGTTTGTATTTTTCATCATCCAAATTATCAGCAATCCCATGAGAAAAATGAGCATCTCCACGCTTCATCATCTTCGGAGCAACAAAATGAAGCAGATCCAAAACTGAATCAGCTGTGTAAGCTTTGTAATCTGTAACAGCTTTGATTCCTTCAACACCCATTTCATGGTACTCTGTCCACACATCACAGTTAGATGTGTTTCCAAGGTTCCTACCTTTGAGAGCACCCTGTCAATTTCAACAGCAAATAATACATGAAAATCAACATTGCCATTCAGAAAAATGATTGAAGCTAACTGCACACGATTAAGAAGTATCCACTGTGGAAGAATGTTAGGATTTGGGAAAAAAATAAAGAGGAACTTCCATCTGCAAATGCAATTGTCAAAGGAGTAAATTTCACTTCCACTTGAGGCCAAATGAAAAGGTTTACATACATAGAAATTATTTTAGATTATAATTGATAAATGAAGGATAATTTACAACCATGAATATAGAAACTGACAACTCGGATGTTTAACTAAATACTTAAGTTAAACATCTGAGGTCTCGTTAAATTGATAGGGATATTGTAGGATACTTAATTCTGGATTGAGTAGTATGGGATACTCGGTAGAACATTTAAGTGTTTGGGTCTCCCCCTTAGCAGCTTGCTTTTAAGAGTGGGTTCCCAAGTGCTTGAGTGTTTATCAATTGATATCAGATTTTGGTTGTCCGACTCAGAAATGACTGCCAATGGAGGATTCCGTGACCATTGAGGATTCTGACCACATTTGAGTGAAGTATCCTAAGTAAAGTTTCATACAAATGTAAGCTGTCAAGATGTCAGCTCTTAAAAGAAGTGTAAAGATAGGAAGTTGGGTATTATGATGTATCTAAGTCCTACATTGAGTACATTAAGATCCTTAATAGAGTATTTAAGTATTGGTTCTACCCTCTTAACAACTAGCTTTAAAGGTGGGATCCCCAAGTTTTCAAGTGTTTATCATATTAAAAAGGACAAATCAGGTAATCTACCAAGGAAGATTGACTGCAATTCTGTATGTAAATACTATTTTCAAATATTAAAAAGAAGGATATAGATTATAAACAAAAAACTCAATGTATATATTAGGAACATTACCCTAAAATCCAACCTCTCAAGCTTGGAGGAGTGTGACTCAGCTATATCTTTCCCAAACGATATGAGTCTCCCATAATTTATATTTTTGGTAAACCCGAGACTCTCTTTGTCATTTTGAAATGCGCTGTGAGTATCATTGTTCTTGTGCTTCTTCACACTGCAGTTATAGAATACATCAGGTGACCAATCAAGGCTACCCCATATTGTATCCCCACCTTTGGGTATCATTGACATGGTTGAATCCCATGTTCGAGTCATGCGCATTAGATGTTGTAAAGTTTGAAGACCAAAAACATCCTTATCCAAAAAACCTGGTGCGAAAGTCCTGCATGAGGTTTAGAGATTCATGCATGAAGACTTCGTCTATATATATTATCATATTATGTATGTAATCAAAACTAAATTCATTTTAAAACAATATCCCAATTGAAGTTATCAAAAATTTCAACCAAACAAAACTTTAGAAAATCCCAATATATGTCAAGTAAACACAATTTTGGAAATCTTAGAAACAGACCAACAGCATTGAAAACTAGCTTTTGGAGGATAAAAGAATTTTGTATAAAATTCAAAAATGATTGACTATTAAAAAATATTGATCAAAACTTGATCTATCAAGGGGTAACAACAGAAATACAGCAGTCAAATAGACTTACTGTTCATTCAAAAGGGACAGAAATTGCACAACCACTTTAACAGATATATATTCTAAATATTTGTTCAACACAATCCAAAACCTAATTGTCAAGAGACATAGATGAAACTTTGGGTTTCAAAACAACAAAGAAAGAAAAGTGGTGGTAAAAAAGGACCTGGCAACAGCAATATCCCTGGCTTCTATAGAGAAAAGTCCCGCAACAGATTTTGGAACACCAAGAAAAGGTCCCCCAATGTTCATCACTGCTTTAATATGTTTGGCACACCAATCTGACCCACCCCCTCCACCCATTGGTCCTGGTGCCTCAACCCATTTCATAAAATGCAAAAAGTACAAAACACCCATTGAATGTGGAATAACAACCACCTTCTTACCACCATTTGTAGCCACCATGAGTTCTATATTACTTTTTATCCTGCTCAAAGATCGATCCCTAACCTGGTCAAATGAAGGAGGGAGGGTTAACCATAATTGAACTCGACAACGAAGTACAGGAGGCAGAGAACATGAATCTTTGTAAGTAACAGAGGACTACCTCTGTATTCTGAAATGAGATTCTCCAATCATAAGCAGCCATATACATGTTTTTCTCCTCATACCCAATGCGAGCTAAATTTGCAATTAGAACGGCCCAAACAAAATAACCAGGTGCAAAATAATCAGCTGCTACAAGTCCAGACACTGGCCTAACTCTAATGCCTGGACGATCTAGTCCTGTTTCATTATCTAGTGACATGTGTTCAACCCAGCACAACGGTCTGCAAAGGTAAAATAAAAATCATATACCATAATAGATAAATTCTATTTGAATTAATAAACATCCATAAAACAAGAACTTGAAGTAAATATCCTTGCCATTAAGAAAGGACAGTAAATGTATAGCCAGACAAATATTAAAAGGGCTACAATCATTAAACATTTGAACCAAACTCCCCAAACTCTGCCAAACAAATGGAATTTAGTAAGTGCCAGTAAATAATGCCTGGACGATCTAGTCCTGTTTCATTATCTAGTGACATATGTTCAACCCAGCATAACGGTCTGCGAAGGTAAAATAAAAACCATACACCATAATAGATAAATTATATTTGAATCAATAAACATCCATAAAACAAGAACTTGAAGCAAATATTCTTGCCAATAAGAAAGGACAGTAAATGTATAGCCAGACAAATATTAAAAAGGCTACAATCATTAAACATTTGAACCAAACTCTGCCAAACAAATGGAATTTAGTAAGTGCTAGTAAAAAGGGTTTATCACTTCAGCTCAAAATCAACTTGAGTGTGTGTAAGAATTCTGCCATACAATGAATGATACGAAGAACAGGAAAACCATTCCCTCTACCAAATGATTCACGTGTTATGGAAAAAAGAAAAAGGAAAAGCAAATAATACAAACCCATAGGAAATGCCTAGAAATGTCATCTTAACACGATTAACTTGTAACTGTAAAATGTAGTGTTGCTATCTACGCCCATCACGTTTCCTATCTTAACAAAAATCAGTAAACTTTGACAGAAGAATACAAGAAAAGGTACTTCAGAGAGAATATTGCAATAACTTTCAACTATATCTTTCTTAGTTACAATTCATAACATAAAAAGGTATCACCACAAAAAGAGGCATTGGCAGTTTTCAGGATCCAGTGAAGAATGACTAGTATTTTTCCATTTTTCAACATTAAGAAACATGGCAGTTGATAAATAACTACCATGTCAATTGCATTTTGTTGAAAGTCCCACATCGCCTACCTCATATCATTTGGTATGGTTTAAATACATGTTAGGCTACTCCACATATTGCCAATTGGTTTTATGTTGGAACCTTAACATGGTATCAGAGCCAAAGCCTAACATCTTTCCGGTTATTGTCATGGGCCAAAAGTTGCCCTTTACTTGGGTCAAAAGTACCCTTTGCCTGGTCCGGCAGGCTTCGTTGGAGGGGGTGTGTTGAAAGTCCCACATCGCCTACCTCATATCATTTGGTATGGTTTAAATACATGTTAGGCTACTCCACATTGGTTTTATGTGGAACCTTAACACATTCCAACTCAACTTACACCCCTCCCAGCAATGTCAACAGACAAATGTTTTACCAAACACAAATTTATTCACTGTAGTAAAACTTACTTGCTTACTTCCCAATCAAGTAAAACAACATTTTCAAGCAGCTTTTCCAATCGTAGAAGTGGAAATCCCAATATACCAGAAAAGAAAAAAAAAATACCTTTTATACAATTCACCAAACGTGCCACCCCACAACCTCTTCCTGAACAAACCCTCGGCACACTGACGACCCTCCCAGAGTTCCAACCCGCCGGTGACAATTCCCGGCACAAAAACCACCGGGTGGTTCACCGTCAATCCCTCCTTCCTCAGTTTCACGCCGGGAGGATCCGGCAACGGTCCCGTAATCGCCTCTGCCACGTACTGAGGGAACGACGCCGGCATTGCATTGTACAGAAACAGTAAGAACCACCAAATTGAACATATCAGCCCGACAAACCAACAACAACTATCCACGCATGACCATCTCTTTATCTTTTCGCCTCCGATACGCGTCACCTTAACCTTTTTCTCCTTCTCCTTCTCCTTATCCTTCCCATTTTCTTCCTCGTTTCGCACGGGATTCGCAGGGGCCTTTCTCCGTCGTATATAGGACATCGTATAAAGAAGTCGAAAAATTAAAAAGCAAAAAGAAGCTTTAAATGCTGTGAAAATGAAAGCTTTTCATTAATGGAGGACGAGGCTCTAAGCTAGCAGATTCTGACAGCGACGTTTGAGCTTCGAGCCTGGGACAGATACTCCTTGGAACCCTAGCCGCCGGTGATCGGAGAGGAAAATTCGCCGATACGCCGTGGAAGGATTTAATTGGCCGTCGTGCGGGGTCGTAGTTGCTTAAGTTGTGTTGTGGCTGTGTGCGGTCATGGGTTTTAAGATACGGACACGTGGCACAATAGTGAGCTTGAAGGAGTTGCACCAGGTTCGTTGTTGTTTCTGGATGCCGCGTGATGTATTGTTGATGCTGCTCCACCGGTGGATTACCGTAGAAACCAACGGTGGCTATTGAACCTGCTGTGCAGTACAGTATTTATTCACATTGAAGCATGGAATTGAAAAGTTTGATTTTACTTTGGGTTTTGTGGGGAAGGTTTTCTTATTTTCTGGACATTTCCTCAAACTGTTACCAAAAATGAAAAATTCTGGTTTTCAATTTTTCCATCGTATTTATTTCAATATTTCGATATTGTTTGTTAAGTAAAAATATTATCATACTATTTAATTAATATATATATATATATATATATATATATATAATGAGAATATTTTCAATAAATGATTAATTCTTAAAATAAATTATACCACACCGTGAATTATTTATAATTACCCTTTTACATTAATATATATTAACATTTCAATTGGCAGATTATTTGTGTAAAAATTAAAGTATTTTAATCATTCCACTATTTTTCAATTCATATCTTCACATAAATGTATTGATATGTGAAGAAAATCAGTGCAATTAAAATAATATGTTGATAAAAATAAATTGATCTTTTTACTTTATAAATTATTAAGGGATTTTCGTCAAATTATTATATTTTCACTTGATATTTCTTATTTTAATATTGTGTTATGAAAAAGCGACTTGTTTTTAACTATTATTAAATGGTTCCAAAATATAAATAAATCTTAACTATTTTTACATTATTTACTGATACCATCTAATATACTTTCATTGATTGAGATTATGTTTCTGTTGTTTTTCCTTATTGAGGAGATAAATTTACCTTTAAATCTTATTAATTAAATTAAATTTCACTACTAACTTTTAATTAGCATAAATTAAAAAACTTATTTTGAATGTAGTATCTTATACTTTTTCAACACCAAACAGAAATTAAATATCCAATTAGTTGATTGACAATTTCTATCAATATATAACATATGAAAAAAATATTTTTTAAATATATTAATACAGTGATTAAAAAATATATTATTTATTAAAATTACACAGATAATATATATATATATATATATATATATATATAAACAGTTTAACAAATTATCATGTTTTTATAATAGTAGAAAATATATCATGTTAAGAGAAATGGTCAATGCAATCCATTAGTTATCCTACTAAACTTATTTTTAAAAATTTTATTCGATCATTTAATGTTAAAATATAGTTTTAGGATTTAAAGTTATATAATATTTTTATAAAAAAAAACTATAATAATAATAATAAATATGGTTCTTATTGATACTGGTAAGTTAAAATATAATATAATATAGTATAATAATAATAATAATAATAATAATAATAATAATAATAATAAAATTATATTAAAATAATTATTATTTAAAATTAACATTATTTTTTAAAATATATATAGTTTTGAAATAAATTATTCTTAACAAATATATATATTTAATTTTTTTTAGTTTCTATTGACCTAAAAACTAATCTAATTTTATCAAATTTATTATTTTTGGTCCAATTTTCTGGAAACAACATACTATTTTTCAAAACAATTAGCAATTGAAGTGATTGAATCAGTGTATAGAATCTAATTTTTACAAAAGTGATTGACCTAAGGGAGCCTCTAAAATATTGACCTTCACACTATTCTTAGTATTTTTAAATAAATTAAAGTGTCGATAATTATAATTTATTTCTTATGAGCAATGTATAAAAAAATACAAATTAATATGTTTTCATCTATGTGCAAAATTGAATTTTTAATTGTTTTTTATTAGAAGATAAATATTGGTAAAAAAAAATAGTAATTATTCAAATTTAAATATATATTGTATATAATAATATATAATTTCCAGTTTTTTTTAGTTTATTGTCATTTTATATTAATAATAAATTTATTTTTCAATAAGATAATGTTATTTCAGGTTTAAACGTAAATATTGTACAAACAACACTGCATAATTATTATTTTTAAATTGTTATTTTTATTTATGTATGATTTCAACAAAATATTTAATATTATTTTAATTATTACAATATTATTTTTCATCATTAGTTTCTTTATTATAAAGGAATAAAGGCAGAAGATTAAGTATTTGACTGACACATTTAAATATTTTTTAAATAAAAGTGCATTGAATTCAAGCTACTAAAAATCAGTTAATAAATTTAGCATATTGTATTCATTAGACTGTTACGATAATTATCATTTATTTATTTTAAAGTATAATTATTTAATAAAAAATCATCTATTAATTCGTACAATTTTTTTGTTTATAATTATACGTATGAATATTTGTAATTTTTGTATGATAATAAATTTATTTTATAATAATATTTTGTAGATGTGTATAGATGTCATCTAAGAAAACCTTAGAAAAAGCAGGGCAAGTTATTTCTAATTAAATTATTTAATTTTGTTCATATTTTTCTTATATTTCACATACAATTTTTTTTTGTCTTATAACTTCTATTTATCTTTAGATAATATATTATTTTTATACAAAATTAAAAGTGTGAATATTAATTTACTATATGAATATTATTTATTCAGAATATAAAACAGAGAAAATAAAAAATTTTGGTGAGAGTGAATATTATTTCATTTTGAAGTGTCCGTTTTAGAATTGAAGTTATAAATAAAATAATTTGCTCTCATTATTATCTAAATTATTATTAAATATAAATGTATTTAATGAAAATGGGCTGTATTATAATATTTCATGAAAATTGATAGTATATCAATAATATTTTTTAAATTCAACGGTTGAATATATAAATTTAAGGGGTAAAAGTTTTATTGATATTTAAGTCAATTTAATAAAATAATATTTTGATAAAAAAATAATATTATTATAATTATTTTAAATAATACTAAAATTTATAAATATAAAATATATTAAAAAGATAAAATAAATAATTATTAAAATAAGATAAAAATATGATAAAATAATTATGATTAAAAGAAAAATGTAATACAAATATTTAATATTTAATTTTTATCAAAATTAGTTTAATTCAAATAATGTAATTATTTTTTAAAATTCTACTGATTATATTTTTTTTAATTTAATTAAAATATAATGATTCAAAAGCAAGTATATAATTTAATTAAAATATAATGAGTGATGTTAATTAAGATGGTATATAGAGTGTTTTATGAAATCTATTCCACACCACACAATTTCGGACCATTAACTTGTTTCACTTGTTTGGGTGGTGATTGGGTCTTCAGCACACAAACACTTGTCGGTCTAGCCCAAACTCAAGAAAGTGAGGACTGAGTTCCTTGAACACCGGGCAAACAAGTATACAAAACTTGAAAACACGGAAGAGAGAGAGAGAGAGAGGTGTCACAGGCTGTTAACATCCGGTAACCAGTATTTCTACTAGACAAAACAAAGTGAAATCCACAGTAGCAGACAGCACTTCTCTTGCACCATTATAGCTTCTACCGAACCAAGCAAACCAAAAACCAATAAAATCACACACCCTCCTCTGCCGCGCCACCGGACACTCACCACCCAATCTGCTATCATGCTCGCTCTCCCCTTTCTCTGAATTTCGTTCTCCAAAATCCATTATTCTTTCTCCAACACAGAATCTCTGATCTCATAACTGAATTTAATTCTCACATTAATTAAATTTGCTGCGCATGGCTTCTATTTGCGTCACCACTTCGGTTTTCGCACCCTATTAATCCTTCCCTTTCCTTCGCTTCACCAACTCACGGTTCAGGTGCAGTGTGTTATTCTTTTCTTGTTTCACTTTCTTGTATCCAAATCTGCAATGCAGGCTTAGTTGAATTCCGTTTTCTAATTTTTTTTCCAGGGTTTTTAAATTTAATTATTACTACGACGCGAGAATGCTTACGTGCATAGCTCGTCCCAAGAAACCTGATGAGTCAGATCCGAACAACGCGACGAGCGCCGCTAAATCGCAAGCCATTAAATCCCTCACTTCTCAGGTAGTGTAAGATACAAGCGATCTAATATAATTTTGACAACGACAGTGAATTGTTCATTGTTGATTTTCGTGTTTATTTTTTTAATTCTGAATTTAGATAAGGGATATGGCGTTGAAGGCTTCAGGAGCGTACAAGCATTGCGCTCCTTGCACGGGGCCAGCGGCGCAGGTGGGAGTGCGGAGTAACACCGAGTCGGACGCGGACTCCGACCGGTTCCGGTGGTCGTACCGGCGAACAGGGAGTTCGAGCTCGACGACGACTCGGACGTGGGGGAAGGAGTTGGAGGCCCGGCTGAAGGGAATATCGAGCGGGGAAGGGACGCCAAACTCCGCGAGTGGACGGCGGGTGGAGCCCGTGGTGCTTTTCGTGGAAGAGAACGAGCCGAAGGAGTGGGTGGCGCAGGTGGAGCCTGGTGTTTTGATTACGTTCGTGTCGTTGCCACGTGGCGGGAACGATCTCAAACGCATACGGTTCAGGTACGTACTACTGCGTTATGTTACGTTATGTTGTTAGGATGGGGTGACAGTACCCGTGGTGCGGTTGTTTTCGTTGCCGTTGAGGGTATTGACCGAACGGTGAGTGTGGTGACAGTGTGTGTGTGTTGGATGATGATTGGTCGCTGTTTGGATCGTCTAGACAGTGATGATGACAATGAGTGCCTTTTGCTACGGTGAATAGTCAATTTCTCACACCTCGCTAATAGGGTTTGTTTTCGCATCTTTGCATATGCTTCTTAGGTATATCTTGAACGCTTTCTCACTTCTGGGTTGTCAATAGATTTTTATTGGCAAGGATTTTCTCTATATAGTTGCCAAAAAATATAGAACGAAATTTTAAATTTATTTTCTATGAATCCCAAGGAGTTAGTTAGTAGAGTTTAACATAGCATCTGATAGTTACTTAGATCGAATTTTCCTCCACTTGTTTCCTCAATACTAGAATACAATAGTTTTTTTTTTTCTTTTTTTTTTAACTCCATTTGTTTTTACACTATCCTCTTCTACCAAACATATGAATTTTAAAAGTAATAATCAATGGTCATGTAAGTGTATCAAAGATTTTATGATATTTGATTAGCAATAAAATTTATTGTAATGTACACACTGATATAACAAAGTGAATTAAATTAGTTCAGGGTGTTTATTTAAATTTATGTGAGATACATGCTTAAACCTTCCTATTCTTAGGAAAGTAATAGAAATAATTTTAGAAAAATACAAATAAAATTGAGTTTTTTTTTTTTATTTTACTGTCGGTGGATTTATTTATGCATATTTTGTGGGGGGGTGTGATATTAAATTGTAGAAATAAATTCCTTTAATTAATGATGTGTGATATAAAGTTTTATTACTTAATTTGAAGTGTCGCATTGTATTATACAATATTTAAAATAAAATAATTATAATACGTGGAGATATTAAAACTTCGTTTTTTACAGCGATAGGTTATTAAGTCGTATTACTGCAATTTGAATTTATACCAGATGGATGATTTCCGTGAGTTTTGAATGCAGTGAGTGATGATCCTATAATTGGTAACTGCGGTTTCCAGATAATCATCCCATTTTTTAACCTTATGCCATTCCCACTGTATTTGTCTTTTGCTCTTGGATAAGTGGGAACGGGTTTGAGCTTCGGCTCGATCACAATTATGCATTTATGCTCAGTTGTCGCTGCCAATCCAAGTATCCAAAGTCCAAATCCCCAGAGCTATAAATGAAAGCATGCTTCCTTCTCCGTAAATATGAGAGTAGGTTTGGGCCCCACATTCCTCAGTAAAATTTCACGCCCTTGCCAAAAAGCAATCAAAAAAGGTGTCTAAAAGGGAACTTGTTGTGGCCTGTAAGTAGTGGTGGCCCTGGTGGGTCGCTGTTGATTGTGTTGGTACCTTTAAACCGAGTTTTGTCGAGTGGTCGGAGGAAACTCTTCTGCTTCCTTTTTCAAAAAAAAAATAAAAAATTGTTGTGTCATGCCTGATTCTTCGTGACTTTGTCTTCGTCTAATACCAGTATTTTTTGTCTTTTAATCTGCAATATGCTGGGGGATGCTCCCATCATCATCCACTCCAGAAATATATACAAGACAAAAATATGAACCTCTACTACGTGAGCACGAAATAATGTCAAAGATAGATGGTTGAATAGGTTTAAGTCTTCTAGATATTCTATTATCACATTTTTTTTTCTATAGTTATTGTTGGATAAAAACATGAAGGACACTTGGGTAAGTCGACCCAACTTGGTGACTTGTCATGCAATCCCAACCAATGAGGAATAAGTGGGTGGGTCTACTTACATGATTTTCTGTCTCTTCTATTTTATCTTTTCCACTTCCTCAACGCAGAGATTTAAGCATTTATTTATTTAAAGCTAAAATACTCTATTTAAAACCTATTAAACCATCTCAATCAATTAATGTTTGGTGGGTTTTAGTTACGTATTTGTCACTAATTACGATTGGACCCACCTGCTTTCGATTGTCTAGACAAACCCCAAGTATAAGGTCAAATTTGGCTGTAGCACAACTTTATTCCACGCACCGAATGACTACTTTTGCTTTTAATTATTTATGAGAATTCTTTGTCAAAAAGTAACCAGTTTAGTAACTTAGCATGATGGATTACAGTGTCATAAACCACTAAGAGAACTTGCAATTCATCTAGCTATTTATTGGTCAACGAAATAACATCATAATAACAGCCACAAACTGAAATTAGTTGAGGTTTTAAGCTATAGTCAGGCGGACCACTCAAATAATATGCTAAAATAACTTAATTATCGTTTAGCTAGAAAGAATCATTATTCCACCCATCTACCCAACACACATATGAAAAAGGAAAAATAAATTAATGGAAAACAGGATGAGATGGGAAGGACAAAAGCGACAATTTAGTTTTAACTGTGTTTATAATACTGTTGCTTTGCTATTTTCCAAAATTCAGATACTAAATAATATGGTGCTTTGTTCTAATGCATATAGTTCATATGATGACCTCGGGACTAGAGAGAAGTGAATTGAATTTTGGTTTATTTTCTATTATGTATAGTCGAGAGATGTTCAATAAATGGCAAGCTCAAAGGTGGTGGGCAGACAACTACGATAAAGTTATGGAACTTTACAATGTTCAAAGGTTTAGCCGCCAAGCATTCCCTCTTCCGACGCCACCAAGATCTGAAGATGAGGTAATTTAATTATTATACACATGTAAACATATACAATTAAGTAATAGGCTTCTGGATGTTACTTGGTCAATGGGTAAACCACCGCTCAGTTCATATATGTAGGCAGAAAGAAACAAATTACAGTGTTCTAATTCGTTGGGAGTTCATTCAACCCTGTTTATTTCGGGCAGTGATTTTTACTGCGATAAGAAGCAAAATTAAATGAATCGTCTACGGAGTAAAGCATTAATGTTACATCCCTTACATACAGTGAGTCTACGTAAAATGTTCAGGTGCTTCACTGTAACAAACTAACAATTCCCCCTTTAGTTCAATGCCTTCTTACCATCTTGCCTTTTCTTTAAAAACAATAATCACTTTCAGCAATGATTATTTTCTGATTTTTCTCTTAATTACTATATTCAAAGTTATTATTGCTTCACTATCTTAATTTGTTCATTTTACATGTATTCATAACAGAGCTCAAAGCTTGAATCAGTAGAAGACAGCCCTGTAACACCTCCACTGACCAGGGAACGGCTACCTCGTAATATTTACCGTCCAACAGGGATGGGAATGGGAATGGGATACTCATCCTCGGATTCCTTTGATCATCAGTCAATGCAATCCCGGCATTTCTATGATTCAAATTGTATGAATTCTACCCCAAAAGTATCCACCATTAGTGCGGCCAAGACGGAGATATCATCAATGGATGCTTCTATCAGAAGTAGCTCATCCAGAGAGGCTGATCGCTCGGGTGATTTATCAATCAGCAATGCTAGTGATTTTGAAACTGAGTGGGTTGAGCAGGATGAACCTGGGGTTTACATTACAATCAGAGCATTACCAGGTGGTGCAAGGGAGCTCAAACGTGTCAGGTTCAGGTACGCTTGCCTGATGCCAATTTTATAACTGGACAAAGCCCTTACCAGTTCATTACTATGTTAGATATTTGAGAATTTAATGATGTTGGAGATCCCTGATTGTCATATGATCCAAATAGAGCACATAAATTATTTAGGAATTGTGTTGTAAATATTATTTTATAAATTGGTTTTTATAAAATTAAGTTAATCTTTAAACTCATTCTAATATATTATTAAAATTTATCTTAAGGAAGCTTGGTGAGTTTATTGTACTTTGATGTTATGAACCACTATTAGATTTCTACTAATTGTTTAGTTCTACATGTTACATGTCTCATTCTCAACATGAAAAGACGTAGAATATCTCAATTCTCTACCTACGTGACTAAAAATATATAAATAGACATAAAACTCACCTAACAAATCAGATTTTGAATCGGTTTAAACTGTATAGGAAATACATTACAATTTAATTGGCTTAAAATATAAGAATCAGACAATTTTTGGTGCTGATTTGCCTGTTTCTGCCACCCATTCTATTCCCCTAGATCACTGTCCAGTTTGCGTGTGGATGGTGTAAATCTAGGCGTGAAGATACATTCATGCATTAGTAAATATATGTGTTTGTTTTTCATGGTTGAATTTTGATTTAGATATGGAATTTAATTCTCGATGTATTCATCTCATGTGTTATACACAGCCGAGAAAAATTTGGAGAGATGCATGCTAGATTGTGGTGGGAGGAGAACCGTGCCAGAATACATGAACAATACTTGTGAGATGTGAGATTTTACAAAGGGGGTGACTGCTGATGCTTTACAAAGTGTGGAGCTGGTGTTGCTTATTAAATTGTTCCATATTTATTTTACTATACTACTTAGTCTCTTTATAGGTGAAGGTGTCAGATGAGGTGCTACTTGCACCTCTGCCTTTTTTTGGGCGATTTACATCTCTACTCACCCTTCTCGTCTTTGTTCCATTGGCTCAGGTTTTATTCTATTGAATGTGGGTGGTAAATATTGTTTCTAGTGGTTAAAGATACCGAATGGACCAAGAGCAGCAATGATTTACTTATAAAAGCTTAAGAAGTCTGGTGGTGGGTGTAAATTCTATTATTATTCAAAGTGGATACAAAGAATGAATCTTTTTTTGGTTTTTTGTTCCTAAACTTCTAGGTCTCAGTTATGATGCACAAACGTATGAAAATGCACATGCCACCAGGTTTACCGTCACTGCTGAGTTACTCATTATTTGTTTGTTTGTTTATTTTTTATTTACATTTTCCCCATAATTATCCTAATATCTCTGCCTTTTTCCATTTCTTATTCTGTACTCAGAATAAATATTTTTAAGGATACATAAACATAAGGTCCACGCTTCCAGTGGTACTGGTCAGTAGTATTCTTGGGGGATGTATCGCGCCTAAACTGCATTAATTTTTATTTGGATGAGGAACTCCACACCTAAGTATTTAATTAAAATGTGCTCAAAATCTTTCATCCTACCACTCTTCACTTCAACTGTAAGTTTTATTTGTTGTAAGCAGTCGTCTCTTCTGGGACATCCCATGAAATTATCTTCGGTGTACAACTTGCAACCATTATTTACTAAACTAGTTTCACTAACCATTATTCTCACACTAATGATTAAAAAGTAGTGAGAAAAATATAATATTTTCTCCATGAATTTAATGATACGTTTTCTTTTCCTTCTAGTTATTTGTCTTTAAGATAATATTCTCTCTGAACTCAAATATAAATAAAAAATAATTATTTAATGAATTTTAATATAAGTAAATTTGAACTACCTTAATTCTTTCTTTTTTATATTTTTATTCTTAAATCTAAGCGTTATCTCCAACAAACATAATTGAGACAAATTTAAAAAATATATATTTTTTATCATATTAAAATAAGAATATTAAACAAACTTAACTACTATTCTTAATATGAAAGTAACTGATTTAACTGCATAGTATAAATTCAAAAGTAAATAGGCAGAAGTGACAAAAAGAAGTGCTAAAGTGGCCTTTTGCAATCAACATCTTTGAGATGGAAAATTTAAAGGCTATACTTATACTAATACTATAGACCCTGATGCGTTATATCCAAAAAGAGAATCCACATTTGACCCAAAAACTCCCATGGGCTTTAATTAGTATATGAGAGCTTTTTGGACAAAAATTCACTTTGGGATCATGGAATCCAAAACTTTTCGTTTATGCAATACAAAATTGTTTTTTTGAAACGTTTCCCTCCACCCTTTGAGACTTCGATTTTACAAATTACCCAATTTACAACTACTTATTTTAATTAGATTTCACCGCGGTTTTGGCTTCTCCCGGGACTCATAAATGCTGTATTAAATGTTGCTAACATAATCAACTTATTATTTCAAAATTAATCATTTCGTACTTAAAAAGGATGTACCCAAACAAGGCAGAAAAAAATGGAGGGAAGTTTGAAAAATTAAATTCATAATTAACAACATAAATTGCAAATCTAATGGTTAAAACTAATGTTATATAAAAAAAAAACACACCTTTTATACACTTTTATTACTTTTCCTCTTATACTCAAAATCTTTCTTTTTTTAATTGTCGATCCAATCCTGCATGTGTAGGTGGGTATTGAATTAATTATAAACAGATTTAAAATTTTAATATTGTGAAATTTTATACACGGTGAGTTAATCAAAATTAATTTTAGTACGATGTTTACGGTAAGGAAAAAGACTGACACCCATATTTTAACAAAATTCTATCTAACAATTTTATTTAATAATATAATCATTTTAAATATTTTTATTCTCATAGAATTTATTTATGATTATTATAATAATAAAATAAATTTTCTCATGATTTTTTTCTACTGCGATTGTCAATATATAAGCTTTTGCGTTTTTTTTTTTATCTAATACCTATAATTAAGTAAGGGATTATGAGAACTCAATAATTGTATGTTCAAAAATGAAAGAAACAATTATTAAATTTTGAATTGCCTCAGCTTATTTTATTATTTTTTAAATTTTAAAAAAATTAAGTGTTTTGTAAAATATTTTTGCATTTCAATAATCAAATTATATTTAATTGTGAAATATTTGATATGTATTTAATATTTCATTCAAATTAAATTAATATATATATATATATATTTATTTTATTTTTCAGAAAAAAAATATTTTAGCATTTTAAGCATAGCCTTAAATGTGAAAAAAAATCATCCTTGGATCATTTTACGCATAAATATTTTACCATAGAGAAAATATTACTAACTCGTTCTATAACATACTTTTATTACTGAAAAAAAAAAACTATGGTAAATCACAAAAATTTATTGGTCTATTTTTGTTTAGTAATTCTTATTCGTGATTTTCTAATTTTTTACCAATAACCCTTCCTTTCAAACTCTTTAAATGCTTTAACCTTCTATTTTTATTCCAATTGATTTTTTAGAATTTCAAAGTTTAAATAATGATTTTTCTCAAATATTATCTTAATTAGCGATAAAAGATATTTTTAGTGGATATAAGGACATTTTATTTTAAATAAAATAACATATTTTTTAAAATTTGTTAAAGCCTGAAAACATTTAAAAATATGAAAATATATAATAATAAATAATATATTATAAATTATTTTTATTACATTGTTATCTAATTTTATAAAACTATCAATGATCTTTAATTGTTAATAATATTTTTTAACAATAATTTATGTTCAATTTATAAATATTGTTTCGAGTCTTATTATCTTTTAAGTTGAAATTGAAATTATATATTATTTAATTTCTTAATCTTATAATATTTATGATAAGAAAATAATAATAATAATAATAATAATAATAATAATACATTTTACTAATGTAAGTTAACTATTTATTATTAAATCATAATGTATAAGAAAAATAAAAATTTTATTTTATATAGAATGTATAATACAATAATTATAAGCATAGTCTATTATATAGAATGTATAATATAATGATTATAAGCATAAAAACCAATACAATAATTATATAAATTCTATAAGTATAGTCTACTCGCTATTTATGTTAGAATAAGATCATGTAATTAAAACATCATTGATTCATCAGTGATAAAATGAATTAGTGATTTCAAAATATTTTTATTTTATAATAATATAAATAAAAAACAAGTATTTTTTAAATTTATATTAAACTCAAATTCATTTTCATCTAATTTATTAATCATAACTTTAAACTACTTTTATATTGTTATAATACATAGAGTGATAATATTGAGTGATAATGTTGAGACTGATATCTGTTCATATATTTAGAAAGAATTTATTCACAATTTTATTTATACTCAAAACATTGTTAAAAATATTAAAGTGAATTAGTACATACACTAATTCCTTTTTTTTTTTCTTCATTATGCTCCTTCCAAGTAAAAGTTCTAAATATTCTAATTCCATGGGTTGTTTTTTCTGCTCACCAAAAATCCTAATAAACAAATTAAATATATTACTAAAAAATTTAAAACTAGCATAAACCCATCTTTAACGATGAAATTCTTTATGCAAATTTCTTAAGGTCTCATGCAAACATTGAAAATTTACATGTGATGAAGAAAAAGGAACATGAGAACTTATTTAAAACAAATTCGAATTGTAAAAGGATAAAAGACGAGTTTTAAAATATTGAGAGAGGTAAATGTTTTAAAAACAAGTTAAATGAATTAAGTTTTTTAGATATTATGTGTTTTTACTAAAACATAAATGAAACATCGAGTTTTTCTATATATAATTTTAAAATTAAATTAAATTTAAATATCCACTTTTCATAATTTTTAAAACTTTCTTTATTTCTATTTTAGTTTTTCATTTTCATTAATGATATCCGTATTTTCAAGTTATATTACATTATATATCTTTATTATCATAAATTTATTAAAATTATTTAAGGTTATTTTTAATTATCGATTTCATCTAAAATAATTTTTAAATTAAAGTTATCAATTTTTTTCAAAAATAAAATTTAAAATTATGTCTACAAAGTTAAATCAAACAAATCATTATTATATCAATATTCAGTGAATAAGAATATCAATTACTAATCCTGAAATCCTGAATAGAAAAAAATAAGATTAGTCAATAAAAAACTATAAATTAAGCTTTTTATTTTAAAAAATTCAAAATAATAAATATTTTCTTAATTTATTATATATATATATATATATATATATATATATATATATATATATATATATATATATATACACACGAATTGTCATTTAAGAAGATAAAAAAAAAGATTTGTTATCCAAATAAAATATTTAAAATATAAAAAACAGATAAAGTAAATGAGAAATATTATTATTTTGTTTAAAAATAGTTAAAAAGTAAAAAGTGTGATCTGAAGTCTGAAAAGATGACCCGCACGCGCGGGAGTCCCTTCTAACTTTTGAAACATCTCTTCGCTGCCACCTCCTATCCTACTCCCTCTTTTTCACACCAATTTTTTAAAATCAATTTAACAAGCACTTGATACTCAACTCAAATTGAAAGCCATGGTATAGGATTCTTCACCATCTTAGATGTATGACATAATAATGAGTGTATATGAGTCATTTTGAGGGTTGTCAGGGTCTGGTATTACCCACAAGTGTTGCTTTATATTCTATAATTAATTTATTTATCCGTGTTCACCGAAAGGTGAACGTACACTTGTAGTGCCAACGCCTACACATGCTCATGTACTAACACATACAAACACAATCCCAACCAACCCTGTCATTTGTCATTAAAATTCTCCCTTCTCTCTTTCCTCTCTTCCACACTCACATCTCATTACTATTTCTCTCTTCTTCACACCCTTCAACTTGCACCATTTTCTATTCTCTTCCACCTTCCACCTTTTCACATTTTCTGCCCCTTTTCACTTTACCCCCTTAAACAAAACTCCATTCTCTTCCCCTCTCATCACACCCACTTTCTCCTCGCCATTCTCACCGTTATAAGTTTCAGTTTCAGTTCTCTGCCCCTCAGCCACGCACCAAAATGCACACAAGAGAGAGGGAGAAGGAGAAGGAGAAGCCCATGAAGGAAGACACGTGCCCACAAAGGAGAAGAACCCCTTCCTTCTCCTCCTCTCTCCTCGACGCCATTTACCGTTCCATCGACGAGTCAAAATCCAACCTTCACGAGGATCAACAACTGGGTCTCTTCGATCAAACCACGTCTGAAAAAGCCTGCAAGAAAGAAAGAATGAATCTTCGCCGAGCCGTGATGCTAGAAGATTGGATGGAGAAGCATAGTTCGCATTCTCATTCCCATTCCCACAGTTTGCAGTTGCTAAACTCGAGTTCAAGCTCCTCAGAATGCAGCTCTGGGGGGATATTTTCCTCTTCAGAAACCGACACGACAACCTTGAAGAAACAAAGACCAAGACCCACATCGGAGAAGAAGAAACAAGACCACAGGGTTTCCGAGAAGCAGAATAAAGAGGGTGGTTTCGCAAGGACCAAGTTGCGGGCGTTGAAAATTTACGGCGAATTGAACCAGAGAGTGAAGCAGCCCATTTCACCAGGGAGTAGAATCGCTAGCTTCCTTAGCTCCATCTTCAATTCCCAGAACGTGAAGAAAGCCAAAATGTGTTACGTTGGTGCTGTTGAAGATGTTAGCTTGGAACACAAATCAAAGTCCCCGTGTTTCTCTTCCACTCCTTCTTCGTTCTCGAGAAGGTCTTGCATGAGCAAAACACCTTCATCGGCTAAAAAGTCCAACACCAACGGGGTCAAAAGATCCGTCAGGTTTTACCCCGTTAGCGAAATCCTAGGTGAGGATTCTGAACCACAGCCTAGTCATCACAAATGTAGCAACATTTATGAGAGTGAGCCTAATCTCATTGTGAGGAAGGTCACGAGAAGTTCTTCCAGAAAGGAGCTGAATAACACTGTTCGGGGAAAGGAAAATGGAGCTGAAGAAGCAGCAGCGCGTGGTTTTGTAAAAGGTTACCGAAATTCTGGTAAGGGTGAATTTGATTTTAGAGGCTTTTGTGGTAACGAAGACGATGACGACGAGGATGAAGATGAAGAGGATGACGACGATGATGATGATGCGAGTTGTTCAAGTTCAGATTTGTTTGAGCTGGATCATCTTATTGGAGCTGCAAGGTACCAAGAAGAGCTTCCTGTCTATGAAACTACCAATTTGGAAACCAATAAAGCCATTGCTAGTGGTCTATGTTTGTAGATTAGTTGAACAACAATTAATTGTAATTATTTTCCATAGTTTGTGGAACTCATGAATTTATTAAAAACAATTCATTGTTCTCTTTTTGTTGTTGTAAGCTACCATTAGTTTTAGATCTTCTCTTAGTTGAGATTCTGATATAGGCTTTATGCATGGTAGGAAAGGAGTTATTATGGCAAACAGATATTTGGATTGAATTGGAAAGTGGATACAATTGTGCGTGTTAGAGAGAAAGATAGGTAGGTGGGAAGCTCATGTTCACTCGCACAACTTGTCAAAGCAAACTAAGACAAACTGAAAAGAGAAAAGTAAAAGCAGATTCATTTTTTTTCCTACCCGATGAGAAAAGAAAAGTTAAAAAAGCTTAACGCTTTTCCACTGGCTTAGCACATGGCCTCAGTGAGACATGGTAAAAATCTCCACCACTTTAACGTCATAGAAGATTTAAATAAATGATTACAACGCACAACTTTTTGCTGGTTTGAAATCCGCGATTACAGAGTGATTTTGAACTGATATTCTTGGTTGTAAAGCCAAAATTGAAGCTAATCTGAACAGAACAAATCAACATACACATATATAGCAGAAAAGGAGACGTTTAGATATGTATACATAGCAGACAGGGTAGGGCCTCTGGTTAGAAACTGGGAAAGTCAACATATGGTAGGAGGATATGATCAGGCATAATAGCATGAATCCAAACTCACTTTTCACACCGCAGGAGAAAATTTGATAAAAGGAAGAGATAAACCTAATCTCCACATATGAAAATGTGAGACACCATGGCCACCTTGGTTGACCAAAACGCCATCCCCCAAAGACCCTTTTGAGTAAAAGATTAAAATGAAAAAGCAAGGACATGAGAAAACCAAGGATGTGAATATTTACAGACATAGATGGCATGCCATGATTGGTTAAATGTTGCATTATGAAAGGTTGATTAAAGAGATGAGGAATTGAGAATTGGAGAATGGAATTGGCAGTGAAGAGAATTGGGATGTTACTCACCAACCAAGCAGAAGCAGTGGCACACAGCGTAGGAAGATTATATAGTGCATGTGAAAGCAGCTTCACATTATCAGCTATGGCCTAAGCCAAGGACCACATTCCAGCCATATCCCTGCGTACACTTATATATGATTCCTTTGCCATTTTGCTGCCAAAAACGGGTGCATACATCACCAACTTGCTCTGCGCCTGCTCTCCATAAATTTCCTATCTTAATTTATCTTTTTTTTTGTTATGTAATAATATCAAAATAGCTTATATTCTCGTGCTTTCGTTTGTGTTCTTTTAAAATAATATTGTTTTAAATATGACATAAAATAAAACAGCAAGACATTCGGTCAAATTTTATATTTAAATATTTTTAATAAAAATTAAAATAAATATATTATAAATTTTAAATCCAAAATCCTAAAATAGTAATAGTTAAAGAATACAAAACATATAATAAATAATAAATATGGACAGTAAAGTAAATTATATAAGAACTATAGTAATTATTTAACCTTTGTAAATACACTAACCTCACACGTATAGGGTAAATATGGAATGTAATTTTAATCCTGTTCATGAAATGATGGATTATATTCAAATTTTTTTATTAAAATTTAAAATAAATTTAACTTATTTAATCGAGAGGGATTTCAAATAAAATTACAATGACTTATAATTTATTTTAAATTTTAAAAATTAGGTTTTAATATTGTATTTTAATAATGTCTTCGTTTGACATGTTACTACATCACTATATTTACTTGTTAGTTGCACCATATTCTATATCACATTTTATATTACAATATTTATCGTATCATCGTATTATTACGTTTTGTCTTCTTATTATTATTAGAGAAAAATTAAATAAAATAAATATAAATTAGTGAATCTACCCACATAATCCATCAACCCACTAATTTTTAGTAGATTAAACAAATTAAAATTTTCTAATTCATCCTAAAATAATTTAGGTTCACCTCACCTCTTTTCAACATTTATGATAAATTAATTAATTAAAACTGAATTCACTCCTTTTAACATCTTTTATTTATTTATATATATATATATATATATATATATATATATATATATATATATATATATATATATATATATATATAGTGTGGTGCGCTGTTAAAAAACAACAAAAAATACGCATGCAAATTGAAAAAAATAACAGTAATGCTATTTCTATTTTTACGAAATTAAATGGTACGGTTTCATAAAAATAAGTCTTAATTTACCACAAGGTAATTAATTAACCATTTTTTAAAAAGTAAAATGAGATTTGGCAGAAGAAAATAAAGGATCCTGCATTTTTTCTATAAAAAAATAATAACTTTTTTTAACAACAACAAGTCAACCATAAGGAAACTTTGGTACAAAAATGCTTTTTCGGGAATTCTAGATACCACTAAATTCCGTTTGCTTAGACCAAACAAAAAAAAACTATATAATTTTTATTGAAACAAAAGAGTACGACATTTTTTTATTATAATTTTTAATCTATAATCGTATAAAATGTTTTAGTAAGAATAATACTATATTTTTTTAGTAATTCTTTTATTTCACCGAAAACGTTAGATTATGATATTTTTCATGTTTTTTTCTTGAAATTTTGTTAGAGGTAATTTAAAAAAAATACTCAAAATGTTATTTTAAAAAATATAAACATGACAAACATAATTTTCTGTAATTTTATATTTTTAAAAAGTTAAATTTTCTCGTCTAACACACATTACCTATATGATTAAAAATAATTTATATCAAATTGTATTTCCATTACAAAAAAATTAACAAGAAATTACCGAACAAAAATAATAAAACTAACAAAAAGGTAACCGTATTATAAGTAAAGTAATGTTTTGTTTTGTTTTGCCCTAGAATAACATGTGTACCTCTTTGTCAAAATTAGTTCAAAGGAAATTACCTAAAATAAACGTCATTTTTAGTGAAATATTAAAAGAAATTGTATACTAACTACCATGGTTTACCATTATTTGGTACTATGCTAAAAAAAGCAATCTTTTAACGGTAATTAGGATATTAAAAATATCCCCAATTTTAGAAATGAATTTTTAAGAAATGTTGATGATATACTATTAGCAAATTATTCTGTTTGGTGTATATTATTAAGAGGGACATTTAAATGATTTGACATGTGAAAATAATTGAAATAGCACGAGATAATGTATGCTAAGAACAATCCAAAATTAAGTGAAAGGAATTTAGACATAAAAAACAAAATAATAATTAGTTGGTACAGCGGGGCACCTTCGCTGTGCCCACTCCTCGTTGCATAGAAAAATGTCCACTGTGGTGTAGGTTGTACCATATTAATTACAGAGATAAACGTGATTAAAAATAAATTAGGATAAAAGTAAGATTGTATATAATGATAAAAATATTTTATAAAAGTTACAAATAAAAAATATTAAAATATTCATGTTTTTAATTAACAGTGAAAATTCAACCAGAACGTATCAAATAAGATTATAAATTATGTCTCGAGAATAATTTACTAATCAATTCTTATGTAAGAATAAGTATAAATTATATTTTATTTTAAAATACTAAATTTTATTATGTATTAAAATATTAAGATAAATATGCATAAATAAACTCATGAATTAATATTTTTTTATCCTAAATAATTAAGGTGAGATAAATATTTCAATCAAAACTTTAAGTTTTAAAAAAAATAATTCAATAAAGTAAGTAGACTTTTCTTAACCTGTTTCATGAATATCCGTTCATCCCATGATTCACGTTCCCAAAAGCCACGTGTTCACGCTTCCAAAAGCCACGTGTTCACGTGTATGTTATTCTTTCTTTCTTACTCCTGCTTTTTATGATACAAAATTAACAACTTTCTGTACAAAGCCTACTTTCTTATGGGCAACCTTGTCGCATTTTCAGTTTAAAAAATATAATGTTTTTTACATACTTATCTTTTTATCTTTATTATTTTCTCTTCAAATAGATTGAATCTTGTTTTTTCAAATACCTATTTTTTAGTTACTTTTTGTATCTATCCGAAATAAAATAAGATGGAATCGTTTCCTTTTTTTTTTCAATTTCTAAAGGATGAAAAATTTATATTTAGGATTCACTTCTTCTTCTTCTTTTTTCCTACATGAATAGTTATTTATAGAAATAATTAATTAGACGGTATACAATACGATTCTAAAATGAAGATTAAACTTTTATCCACATATTAAAAAAAGTTGTTGTGAATCATGTTATACATAAGTTAATAATTCTAAATATTAAAAATGCTGTAGAGGGTTGCGTGGGTTGTATAAAAGTATTTAATTATAAATATTTGTTTAATAGATTATTTTAAATTTCACCGTCGGACGGAATGTTTTTTTACACAAGTTAAATATTTAAAATTTTGTATTAATTTATAATTATTTATGTGGAGGAAGAAAAGTTATTTAATTTATATATATTTTTTATTTAAGAAGAACTCTTGTGAGTTTTTATTCTAAATTAAAGTTTGAATATAAATAAGGATAGTAAATTTGGAATTGTGAAGTCAAAATATATATGCGTAACACCATCAAGTATAATATATCATTATATATATATATATATATATATATATATATATATATATATAATAAATAAATGGTTACAAAACTATATAAATAATATTTGTTAAGAGTTTTTTTCTTTTATCAATAACTAATATTATAATTCTTTGCAAAATTATAATAATTTGATATATTTTTAATTTTTCTAGAACTATTATTTAACTTATATGTGCAGTGACGGATCTGGGATAAATAATATACTATTAAAAAATAATAAATAAATATAAAAGGGTAAAAAGAATATGAAAGAGTGAGAGGATAAAATTGTAAATATATAAATAAATATATAAAATGATCATTAAGTTTAGGGGGCAAAATCATAAATTATATGAGATTTATAAAACTGAGAAGAGGCTGGGAGGATAAAATTGTAAATATACAAGTAAATATATTAAAGTTTTT